GTTGCAGTGGTTCCCATATCAAAGAAGTCTAGCCTTGAAAAAACGCTTTTAATGTTTTCGCAATTGTTCTGGAGCGCTCGAGAGTCCTTTGTTAATCGTCATGTATCTCAAAAAGTATTCAATACGAATTTTCCTAAAATATTTTTCACGTCATTAAATTTTTTTTTACTTCTGAATGATCCTAATCCCATAGAGGCGTAAAATGACTTTAAATAAATTCAGTTGTCTAATGGCATACATACAATATTTCGAAATATGAGTGTTTTCGAATTTTGAACATAATTATCATGAATAATAATTTTTGTAGATTAAATAACAATAATGTATTATATAATTAATTATGTGTAATAAAATAATATTATTAATACATACAGAGGTCGGTATCCCATCTCATTGGAGTAAAATTTCCATCATTTGTTTGTAATACTTACCCTTAATTTTTTAAGGTCCATTTAAAATTAAAAAATATTAAAATTTTTCATTAATTTTTATTTTTTTAATACATTTTTTTTTTTTCGATTCATTTAATACACTACAACTTTAATAGCGCGCTTTAATAGCAGCGAGAAGATAATTAATGGGGTTAATACTGAATTTGATAAGATTAAAAAGCTAGATTTTGAAGACTGTTTTCAGAAGTGGAAGGCATCTTTCCTCTTAATTTTTAATTATTTTTTTTGGAAATAACCAGAAATTACAAGGTGATATAGCCGGTGATTATGGTGTTGGACGTATTTCTTCGGAGCCAGAGGTCGTAATAAAATTATTCGTTATTTAAACAGTGTTGGATGGCCCATTGTCATGATGTAAAACTCGTCTTTCTTCCTGATTTACAACAAATTTTTGAAATTTTCGGTAAGCACTCCCCGGTGTACCATTTTGCGTTACCGTCAGACCCTTTTTCAGTGGACTTGCAGCTACGACTTTAGATCGGGTTAAGTAAACTGACATCATTTCTTTTGCTGCTGTTTGTTGCTTAGATTTTACGGGTGGGTTTGCTCTTGTTGGGTTTCATACCATGGGCAGCTGTACTTCTAGAACCAAGATTCGTCACCAACAACGACTTTACTAAAGCTGCTAGACTGACCATTTTCGAATTTGTTTAGAAATGAATTCGTTTGAAAATGAGCAAAATGTACTCGAGCCTTTTTTTGAGCCTCATCGAGCAGATTTCTTCGGTTGTCCCATAATATTCAAGTCCGTTTCGTTAGGAATTATTTCTTGTGTCAATCGTGGATCTTGATCAATTTTGGAGTTCAACAGAGCTATAGTAAAGTCATTAGTAGAAGACTTTACTCGACCTTCTCGTGGCTCTTCCTCTACCGAAAAATGTCAGGTCTGTAATCTGCGAAATCATTTAGAAATAGTCTTTAAAGACAGCTCAATCGTTCCATATGCAATTTGGCAGTCACCTAAGGGATGTAAATTACCTTGGAACCCGAAGAGAGTCACTTGGCGAATTTCTGCTTGCATTGATGGTGGAACTTCGACTGACCTATTCTCAGCTATCTTGCGCTTTCACGTCTCCGTTTTAGCCGATGGAAAGGTAATTTCGCAGGATTAAGTATTTTTAGATGCAACAAAAACAAATTGAAAAAACCAACTGACCGAACTTTTGTTAATCCCCTCGTACATCTTGAGGACAGTAAATATTGTAGTTTCAATAAATTTTTTTTTTTATATATGTAAGTATGTATAGATATGTTTTTTTTTTTTGGACAACAGACATTTTTTCCTTCGAATAAATATATGGATATAATGATCTCTATCTCGCGTTCTTTAAGTGTGATTGGCGTTAAAGAGTTGATATTTTGTAATAACAAATTAAGGAACAGAGTTGATCACTTAACTCAACTCAGCAAAAGAAAATGCATATTTTAAACATATCTTCGATAAAAGCGTAAAGAAGAAGAAAGTCAACCAGCTGTGTTTATGGTCCTAATACTGTAATTTAGTAGTAGTAGTTTAGTAGTCGTGCAGAATATTGGTTTCGTCGATCTCATTCCGGTAATTTTAATATATGATCAACGGAGTGGAAAAATAATTCTTGAAAATGTCGATAAAATAATGGAAATCGTCGAGCCTAGGTGCAGTTTGAGCTTTGTTTCAACTAACAGGGGAGCTAAATATTCCACAAAAACCATTTTTGAATCACTTTAAAAAGGATACCGACACAAGGAAGCTCGATGTATGGGTGTCACATGAGCTAACGAGAAAAAAACCTTATGGGACGAACTTGCATCTGCGTATCGCTACTGAAAAAAATCGACTTATTCCTGAAGCGGATGGTGAGTGCTGATGAAAAGTGAAACACTTACAACAACGTCAAATAAAAACGATAGTAGTTGAAAGCCATTGAGACGGCGCAAACGGTCCCCTAGACAGAATTTACGAACACAAAGCTTTTGTTATGTATTTGATGGTCTCGTCAAATAATCATTTATTATGAGTTGTTCCACTACGGCCATAATTCCGATCCCTATGGTCAGCAATTGGAACGTCAGAAGGAAGCTATAGCAAAGAAGCGCTCAGCTTGGGCCAAAATTTTGCCAATAGAGATAAGGGGGTCTATGAGAGCGGCATAATGGGTTGCTTCTTACTTTGTCAATATTTATGTGTAGGTACAGTAAGGCCGAATATATGAGCCGGGATTTCATTACATAAAATTTTACGGAATGCGGTCCTGCTTTTTGAAGTGTGATGTCAGACCCATTTATTCACCAAATTTGGCGGCCCAACTATGCCTGGTAACTGAAGTTTGATGAGAAGTGTGATTAAAAAAGATGTAGGCGTATCCATACTACGATTTCCCTACCTACGCTACCCTGACTACAGTACTGCCGGATACGAACTCTTATTGGGAAAATAATGCCGACGGAACGATTTTTTTCTGCACAAAACAACAAAAAGAGGGTGTAAGTAAAAAGTATGCAGAAAGAATTACGACTCATATATCGTACTGACCTTTGACTACTTGAATATAACTACAAAACACACGCACGTACATAGCTATGTATGTGAAAAGAGTAAAAGAATCGTGCCAAAGTGTAGTTCAAAGAAGATATAGACATAGAACTTATGCTGTAATCAACCTTCATATTAGGCACATACATATATATAGTATGTGCATTATACACATATGTACAAACACACACACATACACTCATACATAGAGAATATATGTGGTCAACCGCAATGTCCGTGAACCGATTACACACTGCTGATGCAATTTTCACGCCTGCAACAAAGACCCTGCCTCCCTCGCAGACAAATCAAGCGCAAAAATGGGGAAAAAGGCTTCTCCAGCAAATCGATAACCAGACAGACAGACAACAGTAATGCAGTGAATACAGTTCCGTTTGTCGGTTTTTTTTAACAAATCTATGAGTAAAAGAAGAGCTTTGGAAAAAGATGATTTGAGGTGGAGGAGGATATCAATTTGGTATTTAGAAAACAAAAGAATGAGAAAAATTAAATTAAATTAAATAATTAACTAAATAAATTGAGTTAAATCAAAAAAAAATAAATAAAATAATTTGAAATAAAATTATGTAAATTTAAACAAAATAAATAACCTCAAAGCAATTAAAATCATTTACATTAAGTTAATGGAAGAAAAAAAACCTAACAAAATAAATTATATTAAATTAGATATTGAAATTTAAATCAAATAGAAAACAAATTTAAGAAAAATTAAACCATATTAATAAAAATTAAAAAAAATCAAATTAAATTTTAAAAAAACTAGACCAAACTAAATTCAAAAATTATACAGTCAAATTAAATTATGTAAAAGATAAGGAAATGGGATTGAAAAATTTTAATTTTATTAAATATGAAAAAATGAAGCTGAATTAAAGAAATTAAATTATATAATCTTAATTCAAATAAAAGCAGACTAACATAAAAATAAAGGTAAAATAAAATTTATTTACCTTAAATTAAAAAAGAGAAAATAAAAAAAAAAAGTAAATCAAAACAAAACACAATAAAATTAAAAAAAATTAAAATTAAAAAAATTGAATAAAGTTAAAAAAAATTTAGATTAAATAAAAACAAAATAAATAAACAAAATATATAGATATATATATTTATGTATATAGATATATATATTTATGTTTATTTATTTTGTTTTTATTTAATTGGCGCTTTGTAACCGATGAAGCGGTTTTCCGCCGAGCTCCTCCTCCAATTTGTGGTCTTTCGTCTTGATGTTTTTCCAACAAATGGAGGGACCTACAGTTTATACTAAGTCGACTTCGAACGGCTGATGGTTTTTTTTTTCGAGGAAATACACTCGGAAGGGTGGACATTCCTTGGCGAGAGGCGACCGAAATTGGAAAATTCAATTTAATTTTTTATTTAAATTAATTTTCCATAACTTTTGGATGTTGGTCGCACATAAATAGTTAAATTAAATTAAGTTAAAAAATGAAACTGAATTAAATGAAAAATAATATCTTAAAAAATTAATGAAATATAATTTAATTCAGTAAAAGAAAATAGTTTGAAATAAAAAAAATTTAAAAATAAATTTAAATCAATTAAATTAAATTAGGAAAAAGAAACTACATGAAATAAAAACTAAAATTCCATCAAATGAAATTCAAAAAAAATTTAATTTAATTAAACTAAAAAAATTAAATAAAATTAAGTTAAAACCTAAATTATATTATGTAGATCTCATAAAATTAATTTTAATATCAAAGGAATTTCGGTAAAAGAAAATAAAATTTAAACAAATTATGGGAAAATCAATTAAAGTAAATAATTCAAATTCAACAAAACGTATAAAAATATTTATTTTTATTTAAAATAAAATTAAATACAACAATTTTAAACAATAACAAAATAATTAAAAAAAAAAACAATAAATTTGAAAGAAATAAAATTAAAACAAGAAATAAAAAATCAACTAAAATAAAAAAAAATTGAATAATTTAAATTAAATAGGAAAAATATTAAAAAGTGAAAGTAATGTAATTAAAGTAATACATCATTTTCTATACCACGTATACACTAATTTCTGTTGGATTACTTTTTCCATTGAAAAGGGTTATTTGTGGCAGACAAAAAGGAAAGCAATTAGTTAAGAGAAACAATATATTAGAAATTCGAATAAAACTATGCGCTTGGCCTCGCCATGCTTTTAGTGCATTTTTAACCAGCGACCACATTCAGTAGATTCTAGCAAAGGAAAACAATTTGTTTAATAAAAAAAAAATACGTTTTGGCATAATTTGTTAACACTTTAGATATTAAAAACCATTATGCCTACGAAATCGGTACATAAATGGATGTCTGACGAAATGGAACGTTTAACAATGAGATTCGCACGCTATAAACCCAGTTGCAATGGCTATAATCGTATACAACCGGTGCTACTGTCGCGTAGTGTCACACAAATGTTGAACAATCCTCTGCCAGTGGAGGATCAGATAGGCAGCACCATGTCAACGGGACAACAGGCGAATAAATGTCAGCAACAAGGACATAATCAACCGCAGACGCAAGGATATGTGCGGCCCAAGGGTGTGTTGAGTCGTCCCGAAGCAGAGTGGGAAGAAGTTTATCCGACAGTGCAATTCGGCAGAAGCGAGAGTCCTTGTGAGAACAATGGCAAGAAGACGGAACGGAAATTCGCCTACTATCGCAATTGTTCGACAAGAATAAGTTAGGGGCTAACAGCTAAATGAGAATATTTCATTTATAATTGATTGAGTATATTTTTTGTGTAGTTTTATGGTAAGAGCAATGCGTTTTTAGCACTGCCAACATTCATTCTTTATATAATTACATATACATATGTATGTCTATATGTAAAAATAGTATAAGTTTTTGCAATTTGACAAAAAGTATACATTTATATAATAAAATGTTGAAGATTTGCTGTGTTTATGTTACTTGATTTGGTGTTTTAATAAATGGCGACAAAAAAGTACCGTCATATTAAATTAAAGGTAGATATAAATATAAATATAAATATAAATAAAAATATAAATATAAATATAAATATAAATATAAATATAAATATAAATATAAATATAAATATAAATATAAATATAAATATAAATATAAATATCAATATCAATATCAATATAAATATAAATATAAATATAAATATAAATAAAAATAAAAATACAAATATAAATATAAATATAAATATAAATATAAATATAAATATAAATAAAGGTAAAATAAAATAAAAAATAAAAATAAAATGAAATTACTTATATAAAGTAATAAAATAAAATAATTTTAATAATAAAAAATAAATGAAACAAAAGAAAAAATAAAATAAATTGAGATAAATTAATATATGATATAAAGTAAAAATAAATAAAATGAAAAGTATGTGATAAATACAACAAAGTAATAAAATATAATTGCAGCCGCCACTCGGCAGGGAGTGTCAACCCCTCCTCCCTCCCTCCATCCCTTTCTGACATGAAATAAAGCTCCTCATAAAAAACCCATCAGCCGTTCGAAGGCGGCTTAGTATAAACTGTGGGTCCCTCCATTTGTTGGAAAAACATCAAGACGGAAAACTACAAATTGGGGAATGAGCTTGGCCGAAAAGTCGCTTCAGCGGTTACAAAGCGTCAATTATATTTAAAATATAATTATATATTATAATTTGTATAAAGTAAAATAAAATAAAAAAATTAAATTAGGAATATTATATGAAATAAACAAAACTAAAAAAAATTATAAAATAAATATTAAAATTAATTAGAAAATCTTAAAATAAAATTAAAAAAAACTAAAATTAAATAAATTTAAATAATTTAAAAAAAAATTAAAAAAAATACATAAAATAAGATAATATTATAAATTAAAAAAAAAATCGAAACCACAAGTCATTTAATTCTAAGTTAGGCAGTTCACCGTGTGAAAGAAGCTCTTATTCGGTATTCGATTTAGCACATGAGTTTTATTGAAAAAAATTGCAATTTTATTTCATAAACACATTTGAAAAATATATTTCCAATAAATATAATGTGAAATTATGCGTAAATAACAAATATATCTGATATGCTGTATGTTTTCGGAAAAGGACGAATTTTATAGTAAATAAATTGTTCATGACATTCGAGCTTTAAGAAACTGACCTAAAATACTCACAGAACAAATAGAGTTACAAACTATAATAATTTGATTTGACGCGGCTAACAGAGAGGACTGCATAATTTAAATGTTGTCAGCAATGCAAGCTATAGAGCAAGCACTAAAATACTTGGTAACTCTAATATTTTAGAGAGCGAAAGTATCGAGACGCTCGTAAACTGTAAAATCAACAAATTATTTAGAAAAATGTATTATAAATGTGAGTTGTGCATAATAATTTGACTAACACTCAATGATTAATATCAGCTGTTGCAATGTTCGCATGTGATACGCGTGCTAAATATACGTATGCATATATATATATATATATATAAATAGTATGTTTATATGCAGTTTACATTATGCTTACTGCAAATTAAAGACTAATAACTTTGGCAAGCGCTAGGAAATCCAATACGAATATTGCTTTTGACTTTACGAGACGCGACAAGTTTCATCATGCATATGTTCAGTGCCGTCTGTGAAACCATTCTCATCTAAGGTAGATAAAGCGCCGCCTTGTAGTACTTTATTGACAGCAGCACGCGCTAAATAACCTGTGGTTTCCGTGTAAATGAGAGCGTAGAAGGGTGTCATGTTATTGTCGTTGGTACGTTCAATATTATTGTCCTGCAAAAGACATTTTAGAATGAATTTATGCCAAATAAAATGAAACTTATTATATATGTGTGTAATAGATACCTTGCAGTACATTGAGAACGCCTCGCTGAGTACGTCATCTATATCCAGCGCTTGTTTGAAATGCAATTCAGGATTGCTGAAAAATAAAATAAAATTAATAATAAAAAAAATTTAAAATTAATAAAAAATTTAAAATGATAATATATATGTAAAAAAAGATTTCAAATTCTTTTATTGGGTCATACCGATTCAGTATCGTCGCTATGATGCACAGCAGCTCTACGGTGATTTGTCGCCTTTCTGGACAGTCTATACACATTAGCGTCTCCTCAACTAACAGCGAAAAAGTGATTTCACCACGACTCATATTCGTTAGCGTCGGCACGGTGGGTAACAAATGGCCCTGTGTGGTAATACCTTGTGTTCGTTGTAGAATTTCCCAAATTTTATTATAGAAATTCTTTGGTACACGACAAAGGCAACCCTCTAATTGGCGACGTTGCAAGGTGGTGAGTCTAAAAAAAAAATTCAAACATTAATAAATATGAATTGTTGGTTTTCGCTTTTAAGTAATATTCTACGAAGGCTAGTTTTGAGTTTATGAACTTCTTGAAGAGTTCACTTTAGAGGTATATTCTGGCAAGAAAATATTTAATACGAAGCACTGCTTAAAAATATCCAATTATCGAAGAGTATTTTAGTGAATTTTTTTATCAGTTATTGTTGTTGTTGTAAATGCAAAATCATTTCCACAATCGGTTTCGGGAGTGGCAGATATTTTTTTGTTAAATATTATTTATGCGGGGCTAGGTCGCTGAAAGTTTGGCACTCCTTAGCTGGTTAAAATCGTGGTTAACTCCTGTACAATGAACTGCCTATCAAAATTATCGTTGTGGGTTCAGTATTTGGTGAAATATCTCTGAAGGCATCACCTTTGTAGATTTATGCTTGAAACAGTATCGTAAAATCAATGAAGAAACACTCAACTTTACAGACTTCATTCAATTTATGTTACAGAAGCGCATTTAAGGACCGCTATTTATAGAGAGTTACATAACATCTTCATCAAACTTTTTCCAGTAAAAGACGTCATCTGAATCAATCCTCCATACAGAGCAGAGACAAAGACTTCGAGCTGCCCAATGAGACCCGAGTAATGTTAGTCCAACTAAGATCTGGAAGCTACAGTAAACTGAACTCTTACTTCCGCAGACTGGACTGCGAGGTATTCAAATTATGTCCTACATCCAAAGAGTCAAAAATCTACAAATATAACATCGCTGTTCTTCTGGTCTGATATTATAGTTGTTTTTATCAGAATTAAAGTTTCCATCTGCCTCGGAGATCAGAGTAATACTGGCACAATTAAGGTCTGACTACTGTAGTCGACTTAATTTCTACTTATCCAAACTTGATGTCGACATGCACGTCACTTAACACCTCTTTGTATGTCTCTAAAGCTAACTGATCTAAGTTCCGTTCCCTTTGGCCCGAACACATTGAAACAGTTCGTTTCCTGCATCTCACTTTAGATGTCTGATTTGACCTGCTCTGAAGCGGGATTGGATAACAGCTACAAAAATAGCAACAACAACAACAAATTCTTTTTATCGAGAACACTCTCCTATGATTTACCCAACAAAACTCAGCCGAATTTATACTAGTTTTTACACTTACTTTTCCTCTGCAGCCCATTCGCTTACAGTTAGTGCTTTTTGTAAAAGTATACGCACTTGGTAGGGAGAAAGATTTTCCAAATCAATCGATTCTTGACCGGACATCTGCAGGTAAAGGCGCATGGCCTCTAGCACCCAACCAATGCGTATCTGTAAATATATATGTAAATTAAATTCAGTTATTCTACACAGGTATGGGCAAAAATTAAATAAAAATTCTTCCCCATTTCACACACCTTCAATATACCCCTAAACATGGACGGGTTAGTGGCAATCAAGCGACCACAATACAGCACCACCTCCTGTTGCAGAACCGCCTGTATCACATTGTACGGTTGCACGGTGGTGTACATAACATTTTGTATCTCCGCCGGTGTCATAGGTTTATCGAAATTCGTCTCCTTCTGACCAATAACACCTACAGTCAATTCCTTGCCATTCACCAGTACCGTAGTAATAAAAGGACTAATCGAATCGACAATATGATGCAGTAAAGATGAGCAATAGCGCACAGCACGCCAATAACGTAGCGAACCAGCGCGGTGATAGAGTTGTGTGAGCGCTTGATTAACGCTCAAGCCGTTCACTTCGAAATTTGGGCCTTCACGTTCCAATAAAATTCCCCACAATTGACAGAGACAATAAATGGATTCAGTGCTACGCATAGTGTCGATGATTTCATGTGTGGGCTTATGTTTAAAATGCTAAAAAATTGTGTAAAAAGGAAATTTAAATAAAAAAAATTTAGTAGAAAAATTTCATTTCAAGCACACACTTCCAGTGATATTTTCTGCTCAACATATGTTAACGCTTTTGGCACATCCGTGAGCGACTGATAGCCAATATACTCATGATTGATTTGCACAAAAGCATTCTCATTGTCCGTTAAATGGCTCTGATTCATAAAATCAAGATGTTCTGCAGAGGATAGGAAATAAAAAATTAAAAAGTGCCACGTGAAATTGCAGCATTCCACGCTTACCAATACACGAGCTGCTGATTAAATTCTGCAAACGTCCAATACGCACTTTCATGCCATCACAATAACCTTTCTTCAGCATCGCCAGCAAGTCAAGCATTTCTTTAAATTGCGGATCACGCATATGCTCCTCACGTATGAGTAAGCACACGGTGGGACGGCCAGAGAGACGCCAATATTTGCCCACAAATTGCAGCTCTGTTTTAATATCATCAATAAGCAGCGCCATGTCACGATACAAATAAAAATCGGACACTTCAAAAATCAACGGATAGCAGAGTACAGTCATGCCGCAGATGCGATAGACTTTACTAGTGCCCAGTGAGCCCACCGGACGGCCAGGGCGACCAGTTAGGCCAACTTTATTATTTACGCCCAAATGTTGATAAACCTTAATGAGCTCGGTGGAAGACCAAATTTGCACGGGTTCAACCTGTGGGCGAAGATAAAATAATTATTTTTGTTTTAAATAATTTCAAATAAAAAAAAAAGAAAAGAAATAAAATTGGCTTACCTCATGCGGTGTCTGTGTTTGTATGCCATAGGTGGCCATCATTGCTTGCAAGCGTTGCGATTCAGCAATTAATACAATTTGCACAACCAAATCTGTGGCAGTGCCCTGTATTGTTGTTGTTATTTATTTATTTTTTTTTTGATAATAAAAGAAAACAAGTGAAAAATATTTTAGTAAAATTTTAAAATCTCACAAATATGACAAAAACAAGTGTTCAAATGTAAAATTCAATTCAAATCAGTAAAGAAAATAAAAAAACATATGCAAAATTACTGTTAAATGCAATTACATTAAAAAATTATTGTCAGTTGAGTGTAATGACGCAACTACGGAGCAACGCAGATTCACATAAAAAACTGGTTAAAAAATGTTAAGACGAGTAAATGCAGGTATTAATTGTGACTGTGACTGAAAATAGTCAAGTCAAAAGCGTAACATTTGGTTAACCATTTTCTGTGCATTGACGACATGCAAAAAAAGTTTGGCGTATAAAAAACACAAAGAAAATAATTGATTATTATTAAATTATTTAATACATATATATGTATGCATATGATTATATAATAATTAATAAATTTTAGAATGTTGTATGTAATTTCAATTTAGATTTTCATTTTATTTCCAAAAACATGCAAAATTCAATTCAAGACCGAATTGTTGATAAACCAAAGAGGCGACGAAAATTCTAAAAAACCAAATACAATATTTGTTATTAAATAAAAGAAAATCAGTTGGATAGTATATTTTTTCCTTATGGATACAGATGTTACATGAGGCTACTGTTGTTGTGGTTTTCTCATTGGCTTGGTTTCTTGGAAATTAAAAAACGATTCAGTGTAATCGAATTCATCGTCGTTACTACAAACTTCACCAGCGTCTGTCTCCCAAGGTGATAAGCAACATTTAATGCCAACTTTATTCGAAGCATTAAATTTGTTTTTTTTTTTGTTTTTACGACAAACCCAGCGTTACCCTCCTCCCGCTCAACCGAACAAGGGACGCACTTGAGCAAAATTTATTATTTAAAGCACTCAGTAAGTAGATTTTGATACAGAAAAGCGAGTCAGAGGAACCAATGTTGGGAAAATGTTTATTAAAATCGTTACACAAAGATCTAAAAGCGTCGTGCATTTCAAAGTTTGTTCTGCACGAGCCCAATGAAAGGGGCCTAAAGTGTCTAGATGATCTTATCGAGATGGTAAAGTTAGCACCTCTTATCAATTTAGTTAAAAATTAAACTCCAAGCATCTTTCTACGACTATGGAGTGTAGGCAGATTAATGAGCCATAAACGACTTTTGCAAGAAGGCAGGTTGGTTCTTGTTCGCATTCCAGTTTAAATTTCTTAACGCGAATAATAGGAATCGCTAGGATTGTACAGATTCCAATTTATCCCTGTACAATTGATAGTACGGACTCCATACGACTGAGCCATATACCAAAATGGGCCTAACAAGTGAGGTAAAGGAAATTTGGTCAAGTATGGGTCCTTGAATTCCTTAGCCCAACGTTTAATGAAAGCTAAAACTCATTTTGCCTTATTAGCACAAGCATTTATATGATTTCTAAAATCTAGCTTAGGGTCCATTGTGACACCTAAATCAATGAAGTCAGTAACTTGTTGAACACCGCCTTTTTATGATTTTATCAAAAAATTTAAATTTAAAAGGCACTAACTTTAACATCACACTAAATATTATAATCGAATTTATAAAAAAAAAATCTGTTGCAAAAGCATTTTTAACTTGACCTACTAAGAGGAAAAGCCACTCTAGGATTTTGGAAAACGAATTTCTTTTCTTTAGCTCACATGGTACCTTTGGGTCCTAGTAATGATGTTCAGTTGGTTTTAAAGTGAAAAAAAAATCAAATAGCTGAACTTTTTATTTTGCTGCAGCTCCTCAGAGCGTGCGCTGAGTACAATGAAAGCTTTAAACTCGTTTCTCTCAAAATTACATTTTTCAAACATAGAGGACAAATTATTCGGAACCTATTTCATGGTGTTATCTGAAATTTTGATGGTAGTTTCACAAATCAAATTTTTTTTTTGAAATACGTAGGCGTTTTTCGACTAAATATAAATTCTTTTTTTTAATAATTTAGTGCGTATTTTTTAGTCAAAAATCAATATTAAAAAAGAGTGTGCCGCTTTCACAAAAATTAGTAAAAAAAAAATACGTAAATACTTCCAAAGACTATAGTTTGTAGATCATACAACTTTTTGATTTTCTGTTCTAAGGCTCATCTTTTAGATGAAAACGGTCCTACCGTAGACGCCTTAAAAAAACATGGATGAAATAATGGACTTTATCACCGCCATTTGTAAGAAAATAATAATTAAAGAATATCTTTTTATACTTAATATGCGTTCAATGACATGGTTACTTAGAAGGTCTATCCCTTTTCCCATATTCCTACAATAAATTTAAAAAAATAGTCTATTTGTCAACCTCTAGAGTGGCTTTATCCCTTAACATATATACTTCGGCGCATCATTTCACTATATTTTCATATTCCGTGCATCAACTAACACCGATACAACGAGCATAATGCTGATGTTGAGTTTCGGTTCAATATCATCATAAACGATAAAGCTCATTTCCCAGTGAAGGGCGCGGTTAAAGAGCAAAACTACCGCTTGCGGGCCGACGGAAGTTACTGTGAGATATTCGAGGAGTCTCTCAATGATCAAAAAGTGACCCTTTGGTGCGGCGTATCGACCAAAAAGATCATCGGGTAGTATTTTTTCGAAAGCTAGACTTTCAACGTCTTCACGATCAATAGGGCACGCTGCATAGCGTTGCTGCGTGACTTTTTGTTTTCGGAAATGACTGAAAATGACATGGCCCATGGCAATTCAATGACGCTACTCCGCACGATGCTCAACTGACACATCATATCGAAAAACGCTCACCCCGCGTCGGGAAATATCGCCGAGATATGTTGGATATTATATTCAAAACATGATATAAATAAAATAGAAGGCAACAAATAAAGTTTGTATAAGAAAATAAAAAAAAATAAAAACTTTGAAATGCTATCGCAGCAGATGGCGCACCCTTTGCCTTTCATGATTATATGAGGGTGCAGCGGGGTGCTCTAGCATATAGCCTTCTGAATTGGATAATTTTCAGTTTCAATACTACGTCTATACATTTTTAGCACTAAGATGGATTTTTTTACGGATTTTGGGCCCAAAACCTCAAATCTGTACAAATCGGTTGCACGGGCTGATAGTTATCTGATCTGGCTGATTCTGACAAATGATTAATACAGTAAATACCATCAGTTTACCAAGTTTGATTGAAATATCTCAAAAACTGACTAATTTGCTTACGAACAGGCGTACAGAAGACTGGTATACCTGAATCAACTTAGCTCGTGGTTTCTATCGGATCGGTATACATTTTGATGGGTCTATCTCTTCTTCTTCTGTATTTCCATATTTTGGAACAGAGCTGATATATCATTTCAGATTATAAAAGGTATACAAGATCATAAAAAATATTTTTTTCTAATGATTGTTTTGTCATGGTTGTAGTGGTTCGGTTACACCGTTTCGGAGCCAAGAAAATCAGTCTACTTTAACGAGGTTATTTAGCAGCAGGCGCTGGAAGGAAGCTTTTTCCATGAGTTCGGACCAAAATAAGATGAGGGGTATTAAATAAGGCGTTTTCAACCAATGCGGGGACTCATTTCAAAAAGTTTAAATATCGGATTCGAATCTGCATAAGTAATAGGCGTCGCATCTTCTTAATTGTGTCAGAACTCTTCGTATACATATGTGTTGGTTAGGTTCTAACAGCACAACTCATTGGAAGAGAGTAGAGGAAAATGTTGTTTAACTCTTTGTGAATGGCGTTCAAGGTCTCTTCGCAACATGTCGCGTTAAGCATTTCTGTTAAGTATTATTGTATTGACTTTGTGTAAGCATGTAATTCCTTCCAGAACTGTCTGGGTGATGGCCGTTTCTGTCACCAACTTTAAATGGATGAAGCAGAGAAAGGGGGAGCCCTCCAAGCCATTAGAAATACCAGGTAGCGAAAGACCTGGCTGTACTTGGTGTCTCCAATTGTTATAAATTTGGCTCTAATCGCGTAAGTGGTGTCTACGCGAGTAAGAAGTAACATACCCCTTGGACTATCGACGGATAAACCATTTTGCCTTTTGAGTTGCCAGCAAACCTGTCTTTGTCTATACACAGCGAAAACTCCTGGTGGCTAATGACTCGAGTATTGTTATAAACGCAAAAGTATTACATAAATTTGTTGTCGCGGAATATTGAAAGAGTGACAGACAGACAGACAGACAGATCCCGGTATAAAGATCCGATTTTCGTGGAAACTATCATAATAGACTAACAGCCACCACTTATGGCTGGAATCCCTTACCGAAGGTAAATTATTGAAACCCCAAGACTAATGTTACCTGCTGGCGTAGACGGCTTTAGGTCGCCGAAAGGGTGACAGTCTTAGCCAGATAAAATTCGAGTTAACTCCGGTGCGTAGAACCGATTGCCATGAATAAGTATTGTGTTAGAGCTACCGAATGTAGAGTATCGACTGTCGAACAAAACGGGCTCATTGTGGTACTATTGAAGATCCTAATGACGGAAACGCGCTAGTCAAACCCAGCGTCTCTACATGATTGTCCAAGAGGAAAAAAAATCACGATAATCTCTCGTTACCTATCTTGACCACATTATCCTAATCACATTGCATTCATTGAGACTTTTGCATTATAAGTTAGCGTCTGTAATGATTAATTCTTTCAAAACTTTCGAAGGTGATGGGAAACGCCCTCTCTTGTAAGCTTGTCTGTGTATATGTGTGATTATACTAGGTTCAGGTAGTTCTGATTAGACATCTCGCCAAGTGTTTTGCAAAAATTGCCACCTATTTTCTTTTCTTTTTTTCCTTGATCGTCGGAATTTTCACATTAATATCCAGCTGTTACATCTTTATTCAGCTTCTGCCAAGGGTCACTAGGAGAGTCTTTTGGTGGTGAAGAAGTGGAAAGTGTCGTAGAGATAGCTGTTAACTTTCGAACAAAGGCAAGCAACCCAACCTGGTCAGAGGCAAAAATCTTCGAGCTATCGTTATTATAAATCAAAGAGACTAGTCTCAGGTGATATAAGGAGCTTCGCGACGCTGTAGGTAAGAAATGGTTAGAAGAGGACATTTCCCTTGTTTAAGGTTTGAAGGAGCTTTTATCCAATATGAGATAGTATCACCGCGTTGTTAACTGTGTCTAAGGCTTTCTACAGTTTCAACACCACATGCGAGAACCTGGGAAAACTGGATCACTTTTGGCTGAGGCCATGAGTATTCAGTGCATTTTGCGGAAGCCTTGTTAACGGCAGTTGCAAAGCCACTATTGTCTTAACTATCGGGGAAAAGGAGAAATTTCGGGCTGGGTGTTTAAGAATTTACCCACGTTAAGGTATGCCTGTCGTAAGAGGCGACTTAAATCCAATAGTTCCCGCGACAGTCGGGTCTTTATACCGGAACAACACAGATTTTTATCTGGCCAAGGACTGTCACTCCCGCAACATACCCCAAAAAGTACTTTGGGGAATATTTTTGTGGGTACAACAACAGAAATTTCGCACCATATGATATTAATTTATGCCAGATCCATTGACTGCACTCAACAGCTAATTCCAACAACTACATATATATATGAATATTTAAAAATAAAAATAGATAAATAACTTTTAATTTTACAGCTTAGTTTAGTAAGAATTCAACAAAAAGTTACTATGATGATTGAGCTACGTATTTCGTAGGTAACTACGAAGTGCTTATGTACATATGTATGCATATATGCGACAAATTTTGAACAAACATTACCTCTTTGACATCCAGTATTAATGGTACACGCGCTGTCTAGTTACACACACATACGATTAATTTATAAAGGGTTAGTACATAATTTATAAATATTATTAAATTGTATGTATGTATGTATATTTTTTGATTAATTTAAGTTTAGTTGCAGAAAAACAAACACTTTTTGTTACATAATAATAAAGTGAATTTAAGAGTAAATTTATAAAAAACCAAAAATTATAATAATTGTTAGTTCAACAAACAGTTAGAACGCTAAGCCATGTGTTGGGTGGCCAATTGGGCATTAAGAAATTCAATTTCAAAAATTTCCTTCAACTACAATTGTATGCGTGATTGTGGGTGTGTGAACATATTTATGTGCGTATATACAGGTAAGTAATGTTTATTTTGTCAGTACATGTTTGTATGTATACATTGCTACGAGAGAAAACGCAAAAACGTGAATTAAATAAAATAAAATATAATCAAAGTAGGTATGTATGCGTGTACATGTGTATATTGCACTATTTGTGTTAACTAAAAAAGATCATAATAAACCACAAAACTTTAGAACAAAACATGTACAAACAAAAGTAAGCCAGTCAAGGACCCAAGAAATATCATTTCTTTTTTTTTTGTTTTTTTTTTTTGCATTTTGTTACTTACAGTGCCCGGTTTGGCCTAAGTGGGGATGAGAAAGTAAAAAAAACATAGTTTTGTAGATAGAAAATTATATGTAAGTAGTTTTAAACTAAAAAAAATTCGCTACGAAAAGGTAGTAATGTATGTATGTAAGTGTAAATAATTTTGATTTATTATTAAATGTTTTTTTTTTGTTTTAAAATTTTTAATTTTGTTTTTTTTTTCGCCAAGTGTGTATTTATTGCAATTAGTAAGTAGTTTAAAAGCTGTACATTTGTATTTTAAAGATTTTGTTAATTTACACAATTTTGGCTAGAGACAAGTAACAATAGCACCAATTTTACAGTAAACAAACATATGCATGTACAAGGGTGTGTGCGTGTGTGTTGGGTATAGGGATTTTTAACGGCCGTCTGGAAATTGTTGTAGAATACATATGTATCATTTATTTGAGATCTCCTTAAGGGGTAAGCCACTCTTGGATTTTGGATACGCATTATTTTTCGTTTTTCTCACAGGGTGCCTTTGGGTGCTAGAAATGTTATGTAATTGGTTTTAAAGTAAACAAAAAAAAAATATTTCAAATCACTGAACTTTTTTTGCTCGGAGTAAAATGAAAGCTTCAAAAGCGTTTTTCTCAAAACTACATTTTTCAAACATTAAGTACAGATTTTTCGGACCCTATTGCACGGAGTTATCTGAAATTTTGATTTGATTATTTTTTCACAAATACATTTTTGTTTGGGAATACTTTGCCTCTTTTCGACTAAATGTAAATTACTTTTTTTAATAATTTAGTGCGTATTTTTTAGTAAAAATCAATCTTTTAAAAAAAATTGTGCCGCTTTCACAAAAATTAATAAAAAAAAAAAAATAAATCCTTAAGTACTTCCAAAGACTATAGCTTTTAGATCATAAAACTTTTTGCTTCTCTGTTCTAGGTCTCATCCTTAAGGCGAAATCGGTCCTCCCGTGGATGGATTTCAAAGCAACATGGATTAAATAGTGGACTTTATCATCGACATTTTGTAAAAATATAATAATTAAAGAATATTTTTTATACTCACAGGACTATGCTGTGTACTTGATAAATCATCACTTGATAATCAATCACCATCTTGCTTATTTATCAAGATTTTTCTATTCTGTGTCATAAAGAAAAAGCTCTTTTCTTGATAAATTGTAAAGATGTAAAACTCAGTGTTTTTTTTACAAAGAAATGTTTTGTTTCTCAGATGTGCGTTTATGTTTCACTTTTTTTAACGCGAAATTTTCGGGGGCAACAAATGTGACCTACGGGAGCACCTCATTCATCATCATTGTTTTATTGGCGATCACGGTTATCCTCTAGAGCTGTGGCTTCGAACACTGGTTGAAGAACCTAAATCCTCTAAAGAACTAAAGTACAAACAACTAGATAGTTATGCCAGTATACAGTATATACGTGAAAGTGAAAGACCAACGTTCAGATATATTTCATCCCTATAGTTGTTACATAATCAAAATGTAAACATTTTCACATTTGACTTTCCAAATATATGTACTACAGTCATGTAATACAACTACACATATTTGTTCATTTGTTTTTCTTTTATTCTAAACTAATTGATCTTATCAAAAACAGCTGATATTTGTTTACATTTCATTTTTCACCACACGTGTGGGGAAAAGCACAACAAACTGAAGCCTTTTATCACAAAAAAAGACACAGAATACCAAATAAATTTTTGCTTGATAAATATCTTGATAAATTATCAATATTTTGTTAATCTGTCAAGTGCACAGAATAGGGCTGTTAATGTATGTTCAATGAAATAGTTAAAAAGAAATTCTATTCCTTTTCCCATACTCCTACTATAATTTTTTTAATATGAGTCTATTTTTCAACCTCTAGAGTGGCTTTACCCCTTAACAAAAACCTAAACCAAGTTGCCTATGATATTTTTACGGTGGATCCAAAAAGGTTATGGTCATTACATAATAAATGCGATAATCAGCCAAAATGGCTAAACGCAAATCAGATGAAAAGCGACATGTAATTGCACTCGCTAAATATTATATTTAATCTGTTTATTTATCAACCTAAAAAATAGAGATTAAGAATTACGTAAATTTTAGCGGTAAAAAAAATTCACATATCTAAAAATTACATTGAAAAATTACTTGAATTAAATTTTATGCTCTGCGTCTCCCTTAGAAGTTTTCTAAAGAAAACTTCCTCCGATTGTTTTTATAAATACATGTGTACATATAATAGAGAACTAAAGATAGTAAACCAATACAAGCAAACATTGAAAATTGAATTTAATATCTTAGAAAGTGACTATTTGCCTCAAAATATAACACCAATCCAAGCAAAAAAAAATATAATTACGATATATAATATCGTAGGCAAAGAGCATTCGCCCGAAATTATAATGTACAAGCAAAGATACAAGCCGAAGCATTTGTATTGACTAGAATTCGAATAAATTACTAAAAAATATTTCTCTTAAGCTAATGAAAAAAAAATTTAATATTTCTCTTTTTTTTTTTTTTTTGGAAACAAATTCCCTACTAAAGGCAGCAATTGTCCTTAAATAGCGTCTAATAACAGTATTTTTAACTTACATATGTATATTTATAAAAAATAAAAATAAAAATTAGAGATACTCAGTAACTATTTGAAGCGCAAGACGTGTGAAACGAGAGAAAGTAATTATTTATGTATATGTGTAGTAAGTGCATTTGAGCAAAGGTGAAAGCAAATGGGAATACCGTGATTATACATTCGTACATTATTTCAAATAAAACTATACGAGCACAGTGTGGTTGATTCGAAACAGTATACAGTGTGTGGCTACTACTTTTTACAAAGAAAAAAATAAAAGTGAAAATTAAATAGGAAAAAAAACAATTTTTTTTTAAGATTATCTTTTTCATGTACATGATTTCGACTTACGGCATGTTTGTCATCGGTGGCTTTTCCCTGCCAATATGTACGTGTATTATGTAACCAATTTACATGTTATTTAGGATATTGTAAAGGATTTGTAAGGAATATCACAAAACATATATATAAAAAAAAGTATATAGAACAGCCAATTATATTATTAAAAAATGTATATACGTATTAAATATGTAGTTTCAAATTGTTTCGTTTGAATGTTGTGTTAAATATCAATCATATCAATTATTAGTCAGTAAAAGTCTGGCTTTCAACGAATTATTTTCATTATACCAATTTGTATATCAATTATGTATGTGTTTTCTAATTGAAAAGCGTAACCTAGCATAATGTATAATTATTTAAACCGAATGATGTTAATAAGGCGCAATTTTAATTGGAAATAATTACATACCTGAAAGGCTGAATAGCGGCCAGCCCGTCGTGGACGATTATAGCTGGGCAAATATCGACGAATCGGGTCCAATTCGTTGATATGCAACAGGCCAGCAGTAAGTAATTGGGCTATAATGAACATTGATTGACCCCAAAGGAATAGTGATTGTGAGGGTGAGCGTACGTAAGAGCCTTCACCATCTGGGGCATAATACATAGTAACGACAGGATCGCCATTCACATCGGTATGCAAGCAATTGCGTAATTCATTTTGATATTCTTCAATTTGTTCAGAGTTACTCTTGAAAACGCCATCAATAATCATTTCGATATAAAACAAAGGCCATTCACATTCGTGACCTTCAAAGTCCTTCAATTCGCCGTTGTGATAGTAACTATGTATAATAAATATAAACGTTTGAGATGTGGTAATATTTGTAAAAAATAAATTGTTCAAACCGTCTATTTTTCTCCTCCAGCTTGCTAAGAAAACCATCACGACTGAAGCGTTTAAAACCGCGCTTACCACGTAGACGTGTAATGACATTGTGCTTTGTTTGCTCAACTAAGCGTTCTTCATGCGATGCGAAGGCGGGAAAAGATAACGTCAACAATAATGAAGAGTCAACACCCTGTCAATAAACGCAAATATTTTTAATATTAAGAGGGATAATAATAAGTATTTTTAATAAATATTTATATACCTTGGAGCTTGATTCCCTTGGTAACATGGTTTCAAAAATACTGCGGTTACGATTGTGCGCATCAATGTCAACATAAACAACACTCCAAGAAGCGCCTTTTTCACCAAATAAATTACAACCATTAATAGCTTCCAATGCAGATTTAGCCATACCTAAAAATGTATAAAATACATTCATTCTATTTTAAATTTGCCATAGAAATCCAGCATTTTTTTTACCAATAGAGGAAGCATGTATTTCAGGTGTGCCATTATTGTATTTGGAGCCACGCTCCCACATGCCAAAATCGGGTGTGCGATAAGCGCGTTCAACATAGTATACCAAGTTTTGTACAAAAGCTACTTCATCCTGGGCGCAAAAATAGAAAATGTGAAAATTTATTTGATTAACAAATAGTTTTTTCTTCATTTTAATTTTTTCCCTTACTTGCGTGTATATGATTTGTAAGCCCGATGTGATCATTTGCACTAGGAATATTATATACAAAGATACTAAATCGATTTGCAGATGATTATAGGCATCATCGGCGTAAATTTCTTCACCAGTATGTAAATGAAATTTACCATGTAAAGCATATTGATTCGATTGTCGTTGTTTAAAAACTTCAACACGATGCGCTTGCTTCACCCAGCACTCGAGTATGCCCCGCATACATTTCACAGTCGATTGTCCTAACTCATATGACTTGCCGCGATCATCATCAATTCGTCGATACGCTTGGTATAAACTCCATACAGCAGCTGCACAATATACACTATCACGCACCGAACCTACTTCATGATCCGTGCTCATAATCGGGAAAAGGCCAGTTATGGGACTTTGGAAGCGCAGTAATTGGCGTTTGACTGTGAAAGGGAAAGTGAATGGTGGAAAATATATCTTAATTCACTTAGACAGATGTACCATTTTAATTTGTAAGATAATTAACATAACAACACTAAAATAATTAACACTTTAATATTAATGTGAATAAATGCACTTCTTATCATAGGCAAGTTCAAATATTTGCTCAGAGGTCATTGGCTTAGTAGAATTAAACGATTCCCTCTAACAATCCAAAGTCGACATCGTAAACAAATGTGAATGTAAACAATAAAATGAGCTATTTATACATTGCAAGATTAGACTGCAACAACAACAGTGTCAACAAAAGCCGGCAAAATTTTACATAAACATTGAAGCACATGTATTTATTAGTGTATGTATGCATGTTTTTGTGTTAAAGCGTCCGTATGTAAACAAATCAACAAGTGACAACAGCATCGCTGTACAAGGGATGAGGGGATGATACTGCATACAACAAATGTATAAAAATAACTAATTGACATTTCTCCACAATCAACGCCACACGTTAGTGTGAGGGTATAGTACTAAGTGATTGCACTACAATGAAATGTCTTAGAAATTATATAACCAATGTAATTTGCAAATAATGAAACAAAAGTTCAATTAATTTATATATGAAATAAATAGCAACATTTTCGTACATATAAATAAAGCTTACCAATGCCATAGTAAATATCCAATTGTTTCACTGTGTCCTCATAGTTTGACGTCTTAAGAAACTGATCCAAATGTATGTCTTCAAGACTAGCTTGCCTTCCCGCAGACGATGGTGCACCCGATGGCGCTGTGCTCCCAGGTGTGGTCACCGTAATGCTGAGTCTATAAGAAAAACGAATTTTAACAGTTGCCGATGATTTGGACGATATTAAATTTACGTTTTCGGTAGTTCACGCATTTTAGCTGCGTGTAATTACTTCACTGCGTGTATAATCCACTTTACTTGCACTTAAATTTTGTAGAAAATAATTGCAAAATTGTGCTGTAGAATGCAAAAAATACCCTTGCTTTTAATAATAAAAGTCAAATGTGACATATCGTTGACAATCAGCTGCTGTGCGAAATTTATCGTGCTGCCACATGATCAGCTAGTTGTAATAATTGAGAAAAAATTAAATGGTAAGAAGAAGACTTTTATTTCGTAACATTTTTCAATCCAAAAGGCAAAAGCATCATAAATTATTCAGTTAAATTTGAAACCTTGTTCTTTACAACGTCTATATGAATTCTTCCAAAGAGAATGCTAAACATTATTCGGTGATAAAGTGAGGAGTTATGGAAACTGAATAAAATGAAATTTCCTCCGCTGCTTGGTGATACGTGCTCATATTTCACACCGTTTTTCAGCTTTCAAGAGATGCAAGCGAACAATTCCTACGCACAAAATAATAGCAACCAAAACCGCAGTTAATTCAATGGAGTATGCCGTCGGTAGTGACAATGAAATATGGGGAAAAAATAATAAAATAATTGTATAATAAAAATTTTTGTAATATTTTCTAGGGCTTAACACGTATTTGATAACAGATCCAACATCATTCATTGTTAAAAACAATCTACGAACCCATAATAAATAAATGTTTCATCTTAAGAAAACTACGTAGCTTAGCTCTCACGAGTTGATCCGTTACAAAAACTGCGCTGTCGAAAGAATTATTGGATTTTTATCCTCTCAGATGACAGGTGTGTCTTATATATACTATATATTTGTGGTTTTGCGTCTTGATGTTCTTCCAACAAATGGAAGGACCTATAGATTATACTAAGCCGCCTCTAAACAGCTGAGGGCTTTTTATGAGGAGCTTAATTTCATGTCAGAAATACACTCGGAGGGGTTGACATTCCCTGCCGAGAGGCGACCACTATTAGAAAATTAAGCTAATTTTTTATTTAAATTAATTTTTTATAACTTTTGAATGACAGGTGCGCCTTACAGCGGGTAAATTCTTGAGCCCATAGCTCTCAATTTAATTAATTTGGATTTTAAGAGTCGAGAATGTGGAGTACACCATTGATTTTTAGTTGAGTGCCTTATCGAGGGTAAATTCGAAAGAAGAGCTTTATTTGATTTTTGGTTAGCTTAGTATACATTTTTAAATATTTCTGAATATTTCCTTTGTGATGGCTTCGCTTTTCCCTTTTCGGAACTCTTCTCTTTTAAAATGCTTCTTTAAGATTTAAGAGAATTAAAAAAAAAAACAATAGTCAGGGCGTCCTTATATTACAACAACCATAGTGAAACTTCTCTACGGTTACAATTTAATTACAACAATGCTTTTCGCTTGAAACTATTTTTATTATTGTCAATTGGTAAAAGCGTGTGGTGAAAAATATACCATTACAATAACAAATTCTTGTTAAAATTATTTTAGAAAGTGTATGAAACTAACAGTTAAATTCAGGTCTGCTTACGGCATCAGTGAAAAAGTGTAAATATCCAAAGAAGCAAAGATCACATTTCTATACTTTATTTTTCTTCTTTCTTTTTTTGTTTTTAATGGGTTTACTGGGATCCTATTTCGGTAATGTTACAGTGCCGCAGTTTTTACAAAGAGATCCATCACCATGGACCACAATACTCCATGCCTGGAGCTCGTTATGCCTCATTATGCCAATAATATTTTTGATTGCGGTAGCTAGACTTATTGGCAATCGTATCGGAAGCGGAATTCTTGGCATGCATTTTATAAGATATCTGACCGAGGGTGTCATAATCATCGGACCGACGCTTCTAATGATGGTCAAATATTATGAATATGGCGACTATTACACTTGGATTTGCTGTACGATTATGGTGATTGCAGCTGTTGCGGGTTTAACGAAAAAACCCCACAAACAATTATATCTTTTAGGTGGTCACCAACCGTATGTGTTTAAAGTAAATCGTGCGATGATTTATATACTTGCCTTGGTTGCTCTACTCGCTCAGGGTTTCTCGTCATTTCCAAAATACTTACAAAGAACTTATGGCTATGGTATTAGCCTACTGGATTTAGATGCTGGTTTATATGTTTTTGCAATGGCTTCGATTAGTAGAACCTCCAGTACGCAGTCGCACCTTTTAACGAATTATTGGTTCTATACGCCAATGGCAGCTCTGGCCTTGGCACGAATGGCACTCATTAAATTAGTTATGATGCGGGGGGAAAGTGAAAAGAGACCAAGTGATGATGTACTTTCAAATTATTTCCTTGCAATCACTGTGGCTATAATAATTGGATGTTTTATGTGTGATCGCATAAGGCATTATAGGCGTCAAGTGTGGGCAGGAATGGGTAAGTTAGACACATATATTTGTATTTACATATGTATATCCCATACTAAATCAAAATTAGTCTTCACTAAAAATTTCAAATTAAACATTACCCACTTTTTCGTTTTCCTTCTTAACTGACGTACATCTCATCTTTGCAACGAAGCAGAGATCTTCCACTACCTGGCACCAGCGGTCTTCCACCATAAACTAGAAGACAATAATAATGAACGGCAGGTAGATTTTGGTCCTTGTTTGTCTAGAGAGAACTGAAGCAGCTTTTCGTGTTGTTCAACGCCAGATTACGCAACCGTATAAGATTTGGGGGAATACCAAATTCAAGCATAGCTGCGTAGAGATAGCTACTCATCGCGTTGTCGACTAAAATCGACGCAGAGTTGGTATGTGTCGATCGCAATTTGTAGAATTTGGTCTTTGTTCGTCGAGAGAGGACTTTACTTTTCAATTGCTTACTCATTCTAAAGAAGCACCTGCGTTGGGTTTTCAGGCTGTCCTTATTGTTAGTGTTTCCTAGATAGACGATGTCGTCTAAATTTCAAAGCTGAGGCTATCAACAGTGATGTTGCAGCAGAGACGGAATTGGACTTGTTTGGAATTTCAAATAGATGTGGCACGTAGCAAAGGTGACCTGTGTCATACATGCGCCACCACTTTTTAAACAATTATATGATTCAATGTTTTTTCAGTTCAATGGCTGTCGGATCGAGATATAATTTATGAAACTTCAAGTTTCGATGGCATCTTGATTCCCTTTAATGCATTAAGACTACCCATACATCTATTGGAGAATTAATGCTTAGAATGTGCTCACCAGCATGACAAACTCCTCCAAATACGTACTCGTTTGAAAGCCATGCCCGACTCGGGAATTTCCACTCAAACAGATTGGCTCGTTAGCTCTATACGAGCAGAGGTTCAAATATCCATTGAATAAAGAATAGAATTTCCCTTTCAATATTGTTTTGCCCTTTCTAGCTTTTAATCTGCTCACGAGATATGTTGATTTATTAGATTCTCTTTCCTGAAATCGATGTTTTACCAACAAATGAAGAAACCTACAATTTATTTCTAAGCCACCATCGGGACGGCCGAAGGATTTTGAAGAGTAGTTTATTTTATATCAGTAGTAGACTCGAAGGGCTTGATGGGTGACTGGTATGAGAAAAACTAATTTTCTATAATATTGGATATTGATCGGGTCAGGACTCGAACTCATGATTTTAGGTGTGGTAGTATGTACTGCTGAACACTCGACTATTGTGACCGCCAGATCAAAATGTGTTGGTAAAAGCTTATCATCTGGTTTATATATATTTATAGATTTCATCTGATATATTTAATATGCCGGTATATTAGATTAAAATTCTATCCGATTACTCTGCAATTAATCTAACATTTTGGTTTTCCATTATAGCCATACTTACACTACACGAAATTGTGCTTCAAGTCTTTACCAGCGAGTATGCCTTGGATAATAAAACAGAACGAGGCAACATTTTCGCAGCTAATAAGGAAGCCTTCTTGTCAATACCTGGCTTTTTGGCGCTTTTTTTACTTTCGATCGCTTTTGGAAACTTTTTACGATCGAGAAAACGTGGCGTGCCTTATGTAGTCTTCTTGCAACGTGCCAAATCAATTGTCGAGACGTGCTTATTCAGCTGGGCGGTGACTTTGTATGCCATCTTTACAACATCGATTGCGCCGATCACATGCAATTTCGGTTATGTGGCATGGGTTTTCGCCATTGGCTTATCGATAACTTTGGTCAACATGTTCGTTTTTAATTTTATTACAAATACCCGTAAATATACGGATGACCTCCTGCACCCTACCAATGAGGTGCTACCATCATTTGTATCGAGTATAAATAAGAACGGTATCATTTGTTATGTGTTTGCATGTATTCTTAAATTTTGGGTAGATGCAATGTTAGAGCCTAGATGGAGAAGTGAAAACGAGACCTTTTATATTTTATCATTGGCTATGCTTAGTGTAGCTATTCTGTCATACCTTTTAACTCATCTCACATTATTCTATAATTAAATTTTTTCGTGTATACATCGAAAAAAGGCAACTAATTTTTAAAACCTTATTTTAAACAAATTGCACTCAATAACATTATTAGTTGTAAAAAAAAGTGTTGAAGAAAAATTGTATTTTAAATCATGTAAATTTTGACGTTCTTAGATATTTAAGTGGTTATTAGTACCGACTACTCGGCTATTGGTTATTGATGATGAAAACACTAATAGAATTTTAGCCAACGTACAATGTTACAATAGAAGAGAATGTTATTTTTAACACACATTTTTTAAAGACTTCCTACCCAAAGCTGATTTCAGATCTCGTTTCTGTCGCTACCAAATTAAATTCGAGCGGATTTGCATAATCGTATTCTGTGGTCAAATCTAATTTAATTAATCGGAATTTTTACTCGAATCGGTTATTCAACGACTCTGATGATTTGTTCGAAAATTTTAGTTTAAATAAAACCAACAAAGTAAGAAATATATGTATTTTATGTTTCATTTTAAAGATTTTCAAAAGGAAAATGTGAACTTACTTGCAAATAAATTAAAAATTATATACTAAATTATGTGGTGATTTTTTATTTAAACAGGTAATTCAATGTTATGGCCAAAAATTTGGGTTATATTATATATGTGTATATAATAGGCGCTTTATAACCGCTAAAGTGATTTTCGGCCGAGCTACTACTCATTTTTGTGGTATGATGTTTTTCCAACAAATGAAGAGATTTACACTTCATACTAAGCCGCCTACGAACGGCTGATGGTTTTTTATGAGAAGCCTTTATCTCATGTCAGAAATACACTCAGATGGGTTGACATTCCCTGCAGAGGATTGACCGCAATTAGAAAATTTAGCTTACTTACATTAATTTTTTTTTTACTTTTTGGATGCTAGTTCGACACCAGGATTTGAACCCGAGCCTTCCGAATGGCTGTACGCAATGCTAACCACTCGGCTATCGCGGCCACCTGGCTTTAGACCTGGTAAATAAACCATTGATCAGATATTCACCACGCGTCAAATACTGGAAGAGACCCGTGAAAAGAGAAGCGTTACATGTAACCTCTTCATTGAGCCGCCTTCGACAGCACAATTAGGAGTTACCTTTACGCCGCTATGTCTGAATTTGGTATCTCCGCAAAACTTATACGGCTGTGTTAACTGATGTTAAGCAACACTAAGAGCTCCATTTGAATCGGGAAGCATTTTTCCGAGGCCAAAAGAGGTTTCAGACAGGGTGATTCCATATCAAGCGACTTTTTTTAACTTATTGCTGGAAAAATTAAAGCAGCTGCGGAAAGCACAATATTCTATAAGAGTAGAAAGATTCCGGCGTACGCCGATCAGGTTGACATCATTGGCCTAAGCAACCGCGTCATGAGTTTTGCATTCTCCAGACTGGATAAGGCAGCGATGCGTATGGGTCTGGTCGAGAGCGAGAGTAAGACGAAATATCGCCTCTCATCAAATAATCAAGCATCGTATTTCCGACCTGGCTTCCACGTCATTGTTGACAGTCATATTTTTGAAATGACAGACATCTTCGTCTATTTTGAAACCAGTATTAACTTTAACTGCAATGTCAACTTGGAAATATAGCGCAGAATCACTCTTGCCAACTTTGGATTGAGTAAGCAATTTAAAAGTAAAGTCATCTCTCAAACAAAAATTAGGCTCTACAAGTCCCTCGTCATACCGGTCCTACCATTTGGCGTAAAAGCGTGTACGATATGGACATCCGATGAGTCGGCTTTGGGAGTCCTCGAAATAGATGTTTTAGGAAAGATTTATGGTCTTTTGAGCATTAGCAACGGCGACGCTTATAATGTGACTTTCACGTAAAGGCGAATAGAGAGACTGGACTAAGTCGTCTGAATGGTTGATAGCACTTTAGTTTTGAAACTATTCGATGCAGTACGCGCTGGTGAAAGGAGGGGAAAGGGATACCGGTACTCCTGTGGAAGGATTGGTATTTTCAATTGGCGCCAAATGTAACATGGTGATCCCCATCTCGAGTTCTATAAATGCGATCCGTTCACGCTGGAAGGAGATAGAAAGAGGATATTTCATTTTAAAAAAATTAAGGAACTGTATTGACCAGTTAACTCAGTAGTGTTTGATCGCTTGTTAAAATGGACACCAGCAAAGAGATAATACGCTATAATCTACAACTTTTCTTCAATAAAGGAGAAAACGTAAGTCAGGAAGCTGAAATCATGCACAATTGAGGTTTCGTCAAATGCGATCCTTTAATTTAAAAAAAAAAGAAAAATATCGATAATGGAAGACGTCGAGTATGGCTGCCATGAAAACTCTCTTTTTAATTACAGGGAAGCTAAACATTGCACAAAAATCAGTTTGGAATCACTTTGAAAAGGCTGAAAACACAAGGAAACTCGATATATGGGTTCAAGCTGCGAATCGACCCACTTCTGAGCCACTGCTGATGGATATTTACACCAGGAAGGTTTTTGTTGTTTATTTGATTGGATTGGCAAGGAATCATCAACTATGAGCTGCTCCCCTATGGCCAAACTCTCGACTTGGACTTGCATTGTCGGCGATTGGACCATCGGAAACGCATAGCTTTGAGCGACAGGAGGGCAATTGTGATTCTTCGAGACAACGCCAGACCGCGCACATCGATAGTGACTCAACAGAAAAGCCTGATTGGAAAGTTCTTATGCATTCACCGAGAAAAAAAGTGCATATAAATCGGTTAAGTCTTAAAGATAAATCTCACGTTATCAAATAAATATGTTTTTAAACCAGCTATAGATATATATATATTTTTTTTCGTTTTTACCCGAAACGAAATGTTATCGTTAATGCTAAATCGTTAACAGATAATGTTAAACGTTAAAATTGATTTAACAGCAAAACAAAGCAGGCTGTCATTTTAAAACTAACGTTGGCGGCAAAACGAAACGAAATTATTTCGTTAAGTTTATTTTTCATATTAACACATCGAAATAGCATCGTTTCGGTAGCTGAGCATTCTGTGCTATCTAAGGTGAATAAAACTTTAATTCAAAAATAATGTATCACTATTTACCAACCCAATATTTATGCTGAATATTTGACTTGGCGGTCGCGGTTACCGAGTGGTTAGCATTGTGTACTGACATTCGGAAGGCATGGGCTCATATCACGGTGCTACCAACATCCCAAAGTTATGGAAAATTAATTTAAATAAAAAAGATTACGTCAAATTTTCTAATTGTGGTCGTCTCTCGGCAGGGAATGTCTACACTTCCGATTTTTACCTATTCAAAAAAATGGAACAAAGAAGTATCAAAATTTGTGAACGAAATTGTGTGTGGATGCCTTCCGAATATTGACTGTGGCATACGGAGAAGCTACCTTGGACCGAAGCAACGTTTTTCGATGGAACAAAATGTTCGCAGAAGGCCGAGAAGATGTGAACGACGAAGAGCGTGGGGCATCATGAGTTCTTGCCACAGGGTAGAACGGTCAATAAGGAATATTACCTGCAAGTTATGCGCAATTTGCGCCAAGCAATCCGCCAGAAATGCCCGGATTTGTAGAAGATAACGCCCCTGCTCACACATCGTTGCTTGTGGGCGACTTTTTGGCCAAAAACAACACCCTAATGATGCCGCAACCACCGTATTGCCCAGATCTGGCCCTCTGTGACATTTTATTGTTCTCTAAACTGAAGAGGTCTATGAAAGGACGACGTTACGCTACGATTGACGAGATAAAGACGGCATCGAAGGAGGAGCTGAACACGATAAAAAAATAATAATTTTTTGAAGTGCTACGAAGATTGGCAAAAACCTTTGGCACAAGTGTATAATATCTCATTGGGATTATTTTGAAGGGACAAAATAGATATTCATGAATAAATAAATAATTTTTAAAAAACACAAAATTCGCGATATTTTTTGAACACACCTCATATTATATATAATATACATACGTGTACAATGATTCTCTCTTTGAATTAAAACTAAATCCAGTTTGTCATCAGTTGTACAATTTATTTAGTATTAAGTGTGTATATAGTATATAAAATATAATCGATAAGTTAAACAAATATATTATAATTAATTATGTATATTCAAACAAGTATGTGTAATTAAGCTTAAAAATTTAAATGTAGAAAAGTTATGTGAGAAACAAAAAAATTTATGTATTAAATGAAAAAAGTGAATTTCATTTGTTTTAGTCAAGACTTCACTGGTCAAAAAATGAAATAAGACATTTTGATGTAATTGGAAGTATCGGAACCATTAACATGTACAATACCTTACATAAAAAATTTAATTATTACAAAAATATCTCTTATTTACTAAATCATTTTATCGAATAGGTTAGGATAGATTACACCGTCGCGCTGCTAATTGCAGTGCATAATTCACTAAAATCACAGAAATCGTACAACCTATTACGAATAAAGTCTCTTCAAAATGTTTGACTTCGTGCGGACGAAGCAAACTCCAAAAGTGGGCATAAGTGTAGGACATTGCGATGGCAACCCAACCATTCCTACTCATTATGCCTACAATAGATGGAAAGAAATCTCTGTAATAGGGCAAATCAGCGTTTTTTATAATCCTACCCATATAGATTCTACCATATTTTTTAAATTCTGTAGTAAACCATAATGTATTCAGGATTACATGAAAAACCAGCATAGCAAGAAACGTCATTGTTGTAGCAATAGCTAATACAAACACGACGTATCCGGTATTACATAAGACACGCGAAAACGATGTTGTGTAATGACAAACAATCACCATTCCCCACAGTGATAAAACTAATACAGCTAGTTCCTTAAACATGCGAAGCGCCTCATTATAAAACAATATTACATTCTTCGGCCTCGGACGGAGGCAGTCACCGATGAAAGTGGATAACAGGTAGAGTGCTAAGAAACCGGAATATGAGTATATTCCTTCGCGATTCGCATCGGGTAAGGTGTCACGCGGTTTATCTTCATTGAGAATGATTGCTTCGGTCATGAAATGTAACATGACTTGATGGAAAATCATAAAAGCTGAAGAGTATAAATTATAAATCATTATATTTTAATAAAAGTAAAGTAGTACAAAGTAATATATATGGATTAAAGATGATTTAACGTATGTACACCTAGGTATATATGTTTGTGTATTTTAATAAAAGTAAAGTATTGTAAAATGAGAATATGAATATGAAATGATTTGGATATATGATATGATATAGAGGGGCGTTTTTGTTTGGCATGTGGTTTGCTAGAAAAAAATTAAAGCGCATATAATTTAATGATATGTCAAAGCATTTAGCTATAACATACACATAACGGTTTGTCGGTATATTTTACAAAAGATTGCGTGATGGAGCTGCAGCCGAGACGGTATGTCAGCAATAATGCACCGAACATTCTTTTCCAAGGCGGTAATCGTCTTGGGGGTTTCTTAACCTCGCAAATACTGGTCCAGCGGTGTTAAATCGCATGATCCTGGAGGTCACCCCAAAAGACCCACGATGCGAGATAATGCACTCGGTAAACGTATCCTTCAACAAAGTGATTGTTTTGTTGGCTGTTGGCTTAGATTGAAATTTCTCTTTTTGGGGTTATTCATGGAACGTGCAAAATGTTTGATGGTCGTTTGGCTTCAATTCATGCACGAGTTCGATTTTGTAAGGCCGCAAACCAATATCATTTTGCAAAATCTTCCATAAAAAGGATGGGCACTGCTCCTCTGCTCAATAGCAGAAATAGCGTCTTCGATGCGCACTGTATGGGGACTCTGAGGGTGTGCTACTAGAGTAAACGTGGTGTGAAACCGATCCATGGTTGCTCGAATTACCGATTATACTGAGCTTTTATGTCGACCGAATCTTCTTCTTCTTTATTTGCTTTGGCACCCCTTTAACAACTTTGTGCCATTTGTTTCTTGTTTTTGCTGTTTGGCGCATGTTGGAAATACCAAACGAAGCCAGGTCACTCTCCACCTGATCCTTTCAACGGAGTGGATATATTCCTCTTCTTCGGCTTCCACCAGCGAGTACTGCATCGAATACTTTAAAATCTTTAGTATTCGCATCCATCCATCCGTAGCCGCTATATCTTCATTCGTCGAACTTTGTCAATATCATCGTATAGCTCGTACAACTCACCGTCCCATCGTCTACGGTATTTGCCGTTTCCAATGCAACGATCGCTTTTTTTTGTGCATTGGACAGAGCACACTTAGGTTCCAATCGTCGGACATGCTTTTATCCGACCATATTTTGCACAGAAGCTCATGCATGCACCTGATCAGCTCTTCACCGCCGTATTTAAATAACTCGGCCGATAATCCATCGGTCCTCGTCGCTTTGTTATTTGTTAAGCGGGTGATTGCTATTCGGTCTTCTTCATAGTCGGGGAATGAACCAACTTTTCCATCATCATCAATAGGAGGTCCGGGTTCACCTTCTCCGCGTGTTTCGATTTCACTGCCATTAAGCAGACTGGAGAGGTGTTCCTCCATAAATTCAGTATACTCTGGGCATCCCTCACTAGCTCACAATTCTGAGTCTTACAAGAGTTTGCTTCGGTCCTTAAGCCTTCCGTAAGTCTCCGTATATTTACGTAGAATTTTCGAGCATTACCCTTGTCGGCCAGCTTCACAAGCTCCTCTTTTCTTTTTTTGCCTGCAGATGCGTCTTGCTTCCCCTTCAGCTCCCGGTATCTATCTCACCCAGCACCTGTTGGGGTTGGGCCAGGTTGGAGGTAGGCAGTCTATTTTCTCTCCACTGCGAAACGACAGTCCTCATCGTACTAGCTGCTTTTGCATACTTTTCGAAAACCAATAGTTTCGTTTGCAGCATATGTAGGGAGTTTGCGATGCCGTTCCACAGTTCCCTCATGCCGGGTTGATGATAAGAGCTCCCAAAGAGCAGGTGTACAAGTCCAGTAGAAAACCGCTCGACACTTTGTCGTGATTACAGTTTTCAACGTCGAGCTTTCCTTGTGTTTGTTGAAGGGTGCTTTTCGATACAGACAGGCGCGTGCGTATCTTCGCTGCGGCAAGACAGTGATACGAGTCGATGTTAGGACCTCGGAATGTACGCTCATATAAAACACTGGATACATGCCTTCCGTAAACCACAACATGATCGATATGGATTTTCGATCAGGGGACAGCCAATTAGCTTGATGTCCTTTTTTGTGGTGGAATCAATTCATACGGACAACCATATTTCGAGCCCCGGTGAAGTCGGTAAGCCTCGGCCCATTTGGGGATGTTTCATTGTGTAGGCTAAATTTTCCAACTGGTACCAAAATTACCTTTTTTGCCCACCCTAGCGTGGAAGTCGTAAAGCACGATTTTGACGTCCTAGCTCTCATAAGTGTTCTCGAGGCGCTCGTAAAAGACATACTTGTATTGTATTTGGTCAAGTCATCCTTCTCTTCCGTCGGGCGTGGGTGCATATTAGCGTGGTATTAAAGGATTTCGTTTTGATGCGAATTTTGGCGAGACGTTCATCCACCGGAGTGAATTCCAGTACTCGGCGACGGAGTCTCTCTCCTACCACGAATACGACACCAAATGTCGACCGAATACTGGATGTAAAATTAAACTAAAAAAACCGGATTGAAGTTATAAATGTTTGCATCCGGTGGCCCAGGGTTCGATTTACTCGAAAAAAATTGTATTTATGGCTTTATTCGCTTAATATTTAGAGCATAGATAGCTCTTTGCCGAGATAAATGTATAAAATCCTTCACATTACTTTGGCTCATACAAAATTTAAATATCGGAAAATAATTTTTGGCCAGATGATTACATCATTCCCTCTATATTTGAGATCTCTTATTGATCACAGATCAGGCTATACTTTGATCGGGACAAAAATTGTATAACATTCTGACTATATCTCAGTAACGATGGCTTTTAGGATGGAAAGTATTTTAACCAATAAATAGGATGTTATCTGATCCTAAATGTTTATCTGAACTAATTTTATGATAAAATTTATAAATGGTAATTTTTTTGGAAAGCAGGGCCGTTGATGTGGATTTCTCATATTTAATTTATGGTATTTTAAACAATCGTATTAACTTTCGGCTGGATGGGAATTTTTGTATCTTCGAAAGTCTAAATTCAGTGGAGAAATATTATTCTTTTGTTCCATTAAATAAAATTTTAAATTGACTGTTATTGTTTTATTATGGGGGTCAAAAATAGATTTGCAGATTCTTTTTTATATTGTTTAAACAGATTCCGAATTTTCCTCTCAGACCAAATATCAGCAGGGAAGCCAACAAAAATCCATCTGGACCTTCTTTGGGTTTATTGGTTAAAAGAAGAATTCTGCACCAATGGAAAAACTGACACACAATAATTTGAGATCGTATTTAATTGGGATCGGGACGATTTCAAAGCCAAGATGGGCAAAGAAAGTATCTTGAAGACTCTATTCAAACTCAGCTTCCATGACGAAACTTCCAAACGGGTTGAGGCTGATTTTGACTTTGGGCAAGTTCGAAATATGATTGGCTGTAGTGTCAGATTCCTGCTCAAGAGATTTCATCAAGCTGTATGGTTGTCACCAGATCCATAATAGTTATAATCATCCGAGGACGTCTCAGTGAAGATAAACACCTGCTTTTGTACACCAAAGAAGGTACACCAATAAATCCAAAGAATGTCTGACCACGAAAAGATGTAATCACAATAGACTGAGAGCACCCATAAGCAACTCGATACGAGTAAATTTTGGAACAGCGTTTCAAGCTCTCTGCAGCTGCAGGAACAACTGGATTTCGAAAATGTGGAGAGAAAAAAAACTTTTTTAAGGAATGTCGAATTTTAGTGGAGAGAAAGCAGACCGATTACCTCGCAAAGTGCCGATCGAGTATGTCATATGCGGGGTGAGATAGATACCGAGAGCTAAAAAGGGAAGCAACACGCAATACTATAGGGGTAATGTGACTCAGATGGAGTGTACAACTGTTGGCGTCCACCGCTGGCATTGATATAATAGGCTTCAGCAATCGCTCAGATAATTTTCCTTTCTGCAGAAGATCTTCACTGATATCATTTGGTCAAACTAAAAACCAAGTCTGCGTCGCGTAATTGATGCCTAGGCCATTTAAGAACAATAATAATCTTTTGAATGGCGTAACGGTGTCGAATTTTGTCCTTAACACTTGAGTGCAGAAATTAATTTTCTGTTTATTTGTTAAATTGGATAAACCAATACTCGGAATTCATATCATATATCATTTCATATTCATTAACTTACCTACTCCTCCAAAAAGCCGATCTTTTGGGGAACGAAGTGATTCATATATATATGTACCACCTATGTTTGTTAGAGCCATTGTGATGAAACCATTCCAGTGTGAGCCGTATTCGTGTATATCTTGGTCAATATTGAAAAATTGCGTACAAATGAAACGAATCAAACCCAATGTGAGCAATATACACGTATTTCGTTTCAAACGTTCGTACCGCCTGCTTTTGCGCTGAACAATTCCCATAGAGAATACATATAAACCAATGCCCATATCCTTTAAGCATATGCCATAGGATTCTGATATTGCGTAAGAATTCTGTGTCACTTTTACATTCTCTCCAAATAGTATATATATCGTTGCAAGTATATTGATTGTAGCACGAACCAAGGTTATGATGAATGGACGATTGGCACCAATAACATAAACTCGCTGGTGTGCATCACATTTATAAATTCTTATAAGCGATATACATACGAAAGTGATGAGAAAAAAATTTACTAAGTGCATGTGATATTGGTTGATTGGATCTGCAAAAATCACTGTGGGTATAATGATAACTATCATTTCCATAAGGAATTTGCCACGAGATTCCGGAAGATATGTTTTAGAAATAACTTGGGACAGCAAATAGAATAATATTATTGGCATACATTTCTGTAGGACCAAAAATGATGACGTCACTGTATGCCAGAGGCTTTCTTCTATTGGCTGTGGGCTTAGTTCTGGTATTTGTGGCCTATCGTAATTCAATTCGTAAGGCAGAAGCTTTGCTTCATCCTTGTAAGTATTCATGGTTTCCGTTGATTGTGAATGTACAATTTCTGGTTTTATTAACTATATGTATGTCTGCTTGATTCGTGAAATTTATTAAATTATACGGCGATAACTGCATAACTGTTTCATCCATAGCGAGACAACAATTTCCAGTTGAGACCAATAATAGTGTTGCCGCACTCAAATGACAATGATGAAGTCATAAATAAAAATAATTATTAATATAGCGGCCGCCACCTTAAGGTAAATAAAAGATCTATTATAAAAATTTAAAAAAAAATTAACTAAAATAGAGTAAAACAGAATAAAATAATTTAAAGTAAATTATATAAAAGGGCAAAATGAAATAAATTAAAAAATAAAATGAAATAAGCCGAAATATAATGGAATAAAATAAAATAAAATAAGATAAAATTATACTAAATAAAACAAAATAAAACGAAGGGAAATAAGTAGAAAAAAATATAAATAAAAAAATTAAGTTCAAACAAAATAATATATTTTTAAGTGGTTTCTTGATTAGAGGGTCTTTTAGGGCAGATCTATTGGGCTTAAAACCTGAATGAAGAAATGCTATACATTAATTAATTTAAACCAACAAAAAAAGTATTTTTCTGGTGGTACTTTTATCAACTTTCAAGGGAATTCAAAGTTCTTCGCGCAAATATTTTTTCCTAAAGAATTCTCCTAGAAAAATATTCCGAAGAATAATTTTCTAATATACAATATTTTAGAGGGATTCTTGAACCAAAACAAAAAATAAATTTTTATTTTTACATAAGGAAATGAATTATAATTAAAAAAAAAATATTTTTAAATAAAATAGGACAGAATAGAAAGAGTGTACAAAAATAAAATAAAAGAAAATAAAATAAACTTGTATAAAATTGAAAAAAATTAAATTCAATGAAATAATGATACGAGCATAGTAAAATTCAAAAACAAAATAAAATAACATAACACAACAGAATAAAATAATTGAAATAATATTAATAAAATAAAATGAAGCAAATAAATTAAATGAAAGGAGAAAACAAAAATAAAAAAAAATTATTAAATTACACTAAATAAAATAAGATAAAATTAATTATATTTTATTATTATTATATTATTATTAGTTAAAGTAAAATGAAATGAAATAAAGAAAATAATGGAATGAAAAGAAAAGAGAAAATGAAATGAATCTAACATACAATAAAATAAATAAAATAAAATGAAATGGAATGAAATAAATTAATTAAAAATAAAATAAAGAAAAGAAAGGAATAACATAAAATGAATTTACGTAAAACAAAATAAAAAAAATTAAATAAAATAAAATAAAATAAAATAAAATAAAATAAAATAAAATAAAATAAAATAAAATAAAATAAAATAAAATATAATAAAATAAAATAAAAATTAAATTACATCTTATACTGATTTTTAAGTGGAACCTTTATTTTACGTCAGAAATACACACGGAGGGGTTGGAGTTCCCTGCCGAAATTAAATTATAACAAATTAATTAAAATAAAATGAAGTAAATGAATTTAAATTGTGTTAAATAATATAAAGTAAAATAAGATAAAGGTATTAAAAACCAAAAATAATACAAAATAAAAAGTAAATTAAAATAAAGGTGAAAGGAAAGTAAAAAAAATTAAAAGAAATTTGTAAAATAAATTTAAATGATATAAAGCAAAATAAAATTAAATTAAAATAAAGGAGTAAATTAAAACAAATTACAAATAAGAAATTGAATTAAAATATTTTAATTAAAACAAAATAAAATAAAAATTAATAAAATAATGTTACACAAAATAAAGTAAAATAACAGAAAATAAGATCAAATAAAATAAAATGATGTAATATGGATAATAATATAAGATATATATAAATTAAATAAAAAATACATTAAAAATATTAAGTGAAGCGAAGAAAATAACATTAATTACACAAAGTAACACTAAATAAATAAAATATAAAGAAAACAAAATAAATTAGACTCCAATAGAACGGAATAAAATAAACGGAAATGAAATAAGGGAACTAAAATAAAATAAAATAAACTAAAGAAATTAAAATTTCCTCCAAATTGAATGAGCATCATTTCGTAAATTTATTTGTAAAAAGAAACCAAACAAGTTTCGTTTTATCACAAAATAAGTCAAACCATGTATACGAGCATATGTGTTCATTAAAAAAAATTTATATATATGTGTGTATTATTCATTACCAGAGCCGCTTACAACGATATAGTACATAATTGACAACAACAACAGTAAACATAAACACATTTAAGATGCAAAAGCATTCAAATTCGGTGAAATCTCTGATTTTATATATTTTAATAAAGTGCGCATAGACACTTGCCAGCACAAAGCACACCCAACCATTCTCGCTCATTGACCGTACAATCACCGGCATATATTCCCTATATATTGATTTTTGCGCGGCAGTTATCATCGAAACATTAAAAATTCTGGCATACTCATCCGCTTGGCTCGCAAACCACAATGTATTTAAAAAGTAATGAAAAACTCCCATTATTATGAAATTCATATAGAGTGCGATGTATAAAATCCATATGACATAGCCGGTATTGCATGAAATGCGCGAAACGGAAAATGTAAATACGGAGCCGATCAACAGTACCATAAATAATGCCTTCATCCAACCGAGTGTACGTGTGGCCTCCTCGAATTCCTTACGTGGCACAGCCACATCTGGATCGCGTATTATTTGCCCAATACAAAAGGATAACACATAAATTGCCATAAAACCGGGCAGTGATAATATACCCTCACGATTGGCAAAAATAAATGTGTCGCGCGGAAGACTTTCATTCAAAATGACCTCATAGCAGATTTCATGCAGCAAGACTTGATGGAGTATCAATAAAACTAAGGGCAATTTTTAAAAGGTATTATTGATCTGTATTGGTTTTAAATTTCATACCTACTCACCTACTCCCGAAAGGAAAAGCAGAATGCGTTTTCTAAATAGTTCGCACCAATATGAGCAAACTAACTTCGTTACAGCCAATGTGAAGAAACCATTCCAATGTAATCCAAAGTCATGTATATCCTGTTTAACATTTAAAAATTGCGCACAAAATAAACGAATGAGACCCAGAGTAGTCAGTAAGCCAACAGTACGCTTAAGCCGAGGTAGATCACTCTTTCTACGCGCAACTACCGCCATTGAAAATACATATAAACCTATGCCAACATCCATTACGCCGGCACCGAAGGGTCGCTTCTTTAGATAAATCACCGGAAAGCGACCCAAATGCTCACCGATTATATAAATCGCTGTAAGTATATTGATTGTGGCACGATCGAATGTCAACACGAATGGTCGTCTACCGCCGTGTATATACCAACGTTCCGTTGCCTTTGTCTTGAGAAACCTGTATAATCCGTACACGAAGCATATGCAGAAAAAGGCGTTCAAATAAATCGAATAAAGCAACCAAACGTTTACAAAATACACCGTTGGTACAATGATAACGAAAAATTCTATAATGAATCTTGTAATGGAATCGGCTGGTATTAAATGCGCGGTTTTTTGTGAAATTATGCGTGCGATTGCATAGAAAAATACGATTGGCATAAAGCACAGTAGAATTGAGAATATGGTGATTAATAATTCCATATTTTCCAATTTCGGATCGTACGGATCCATTTCGGTTGGTCTTGGTACTGGCTTGGGGAATGGAAAGGGCCAAGTTGATTCTGTAGGATCCATTGAAAGCGATGCATACGATGAATTGTCATCGAACTGCTGATTATGCGATGAATTGCCATAGAATTGCTGATTATACGATGAATTGCCATAGAATTGCTCATTATGCGATGAATTGTAATCGAATCGCTGTGCCAAAAACTGGTCTTGGTTCCAAATATCCATGTTTTGTGTTTTCAATAAATAGACACTTAAAATATGATTATATTTTTTTTCTTCTTTTCTTTGTAATTCCCAACGAACTGTGTGAACTAACTGTTTCTTGAAGGTTGTGACAACATAAACGCGCTTTTTTCTCGATGTGTGTGGAAGCGAAAAGTGTAAAACAGAATAATTGTTGCCGCATTCGAGGGGAAAAATGCAAATGCAATAAATCTCCTTAAATTGCCTTTAGACGACCTCTTGGTTGATTTTCTATATGTCTTTACAAAGATTAGGGCTGTTCAGGGAGGAACTGAGCCGCAGTACTCTTCGGTACCAAAACGAGACTCTAGATAGTTAGATAGTGGCAGTGCGTACTGCCAGTCTAGAGACTAGGGTTCGAGTACACCAACCAACCATCCAAAAATTATAGAAAATCAATATTTCTAATTGAGCTCGCCCCTTGGCAGGTGATGTCAAGTCCTTCTCATAAAAATCCATCGGAGGCGGCTTAGAATAAACTACAGGTTTCTTAATTTGTTGGAAAACCATTAATACGCATACCCCGAATTGGAGGAGGATATAAAGTGCCAACTATATAATTGACCTCAACAACTCCATTCTGTTTACTCCCAAAGGGTTAAGGAAGCTAAGGGAAGGAGCCTGCCAGTGTAAATTAGGAAAGAGGTTTTGAAGCTTCAGATAATGCCATTTATTTAGAGACCAGCATATACTACGAACTATACGATGATAAAGACATAATTCAGCGAATAAAGAGACAGCGACTTTGCTGGCTAGATCATGTCGTCCAAATGGATGAAAACACTCCAGCTTTAAAAGTATTCGATGCAGTACCCGCTGGAAGAAGCAGAGGAAGAAGAAACCTCTACTCCGTTGGAAGGATCAGGTGGAGAGTGACCTGGCTTCACTGCATAACGAAAATTAAATGCAAAACATATAAGATTTCTACTAGCAACAAAGAGGTAATACAATAAATGCAGGATATTCAGGAAAGTGGTATCAACCGCACTGCAGTGCCCTGCGTTTTGCAGACAGAGGATAATCTCATTAGGCGAAAATAAACTGCAGGATCTTCAGACAGAAATGGGCAAGGGTCCAATGCTCTTCAGAATAGAGTCCCACCAAGAGGTGTAGCATTCCATAAACTTAGTTGCACTTAGCGTATCTGGTAACACTATCGTTTATGTGAGACTTTATACAGAGTCAAAGCTCTCAACCCAATCTCACCTAATGCTAAGCATTAAGGCCAACGGTGAATAGCTATTACCAACAAATATGACTTTGGACTGAGTATATACATGGAGTATACGAAAAGGAGGTTTCGAGGTAAAAAGGTTTATGACGCGCAAAGCCGTCCTACATCGCCGACGATGGAATGATGAACTGTAAGAGGCATCCAAACGCAAACATATTGTTCAGTGAGTTAAGAAATAGCGGCTAAGATCATGGATGGAGGAGTGAAAAGTATTGAAAGCAGTTGCCTCAGTACTCAGAGTTAACTCCATTATTTTCTTTTAAACCAATTAAGACGAAGAAGTATAGTACACCCTTGCGGGTTAGGTTAGCTCAAGAATTTATCAGCGGTAAGGCATGCCGGCTAAGGATTTGGAGTAAGGACTGTCACTCACTCAACATTCTCCAAAAAATAATTTGGGAAATATTTTTGCGGTTACAACAACAACAACATGGTACTTCAGAGGTTGACATGAGTTTCATAGCCCTAAAAAATTTCATTTTTTTCTGCGAGTATATTAATTTCTAAAATATTTCTATAATATTATCCGGAGAAATTAAATTTGAAATATTTTTTTTGTTTTCCTCCAAATTCTTGGTTATGGCAAAGAACATATATGGCCGTATGGGTCTTGTCGCTTCTTATTCATTTACGTTCTTTGGTTCTATTGTACTTTGTGACACAGCTTTTTTCCATAGGGTCACGGGTGAGATTATGAATATCCTGCTTTGAGAATTTCATATGTTTAATCCCACGTAACCCCATAAGGAAAAAACACAGAAAATTCAAATCTAGTGGGGAATGTTTCTTATCATTCGAGAGAACTTTCTTTGGCATTGATTTTTTGAAGATTATCTCTTTCAAATGTTGACCGCTGCTCGGTCTCAGTTGATCTATCCGTTGGGCCCAATTTTTCATGACTCGCTCGAACATTTCGTTTGGTAACTGGGGAATGACAAGCGCGATATTTTGGTCCGAGGCCTGAATAAAAGCGGAACTATACTTAATCCCACAGGAAAAAGTTTAACAGCATCAAATAATCGGTTACCATTGACGCTTAAGTTATCATCGGCATTATTTTTGAAGAAATATGGACCGATGATTCTACCGGCTTACAAGCCACACCAAACCGTTGTTTTTCTTTTTTTTTTTTTTTACATGAAATGACTGTTCTGGAATATCCCCAACTTGCTCTTCGTCCCAATTCTGCTTGTTTATATACCCGAATCGACTCTCCGCGGTCTTCTTGCACCCTCTCAGCTAAGGCCGCTATATTTGCACATCTGTTTTTCAAATTTTTTTTTTAATACGATACTTTATTGATAGTCCTTAGTTTTTGTTGTTGTTTAGAGGCGACGTCAATTTTTTATTATAATTTTGGGCGTTAATTTGTGCTGGATTTGAATCCAAAACTTTCTATAAGGTAACACACACCGTTAACTCTTGAACTATTAACGTCACAATTAGTTTTCAGAAAAATGAAAATTTTCCAGATAACTCAGTTTAATTTATCTCAAAAGTACGCAACTGCACTTTAAATATTTCACTTGTTTATCAAATAATGGAAAAATATTAATTTAAAAAAGTTAAAAAGTTTTTTAATTAACTGCAAATAACTGAGTAAAAGTAAAATTTTAAAAAGTAAACTAACTATACATAAAATACGAATTAAATGCGTTTGAAAAAAAAAAACTGAATGTGAAATTAAATACACATAGCCAATTTAAAAGTTTTTTCTTTATAAAAATTGAGTTTAAAACAGCCAAGTACTAGAGGTAATCTGAAATTTTGAAAAGAGTTTAATTTAACAGTAATATAAAGTTTCTCTCATAATTTACATATGTATATTTATTTATTTATTTAAAAAATACGAAAAACTTCTTTGATCATAATATGTGTATGTACAAGTCTAACGAAACGAACTATTTTGACATCAATTAAGAGAATTTCACTATTTTTTCACATCCATTTGCAATATACACACATCTATCTTTGTACATATATATAAAGTAAAGAAAATTAATTAGAAATTAAGCAACCGTTACGGAAAAATTGGTACGATATTTCATACAAACGGCAGCAGTCAGAAGAAATGCGCAACCAGTTATAATTATAACACCTTGAAACTGGCCAAAGTCGCTTTTATTAGCATTCGCTAAAGCCTGTGCAAAGGCTTGAGCCAATGCATAACACAAAAAACCATTACTATTTATTGCTTCCAAAAACATTGGCAAATATACGACAGGTTCCACCCAAAAAACGGTATTATTGTCCTCTCCCTCATCATCACGTTTATCTTCGGTAAACCAATTATTATTCTGAATCAGATGAAAAATCAGCATGAATAGTGTAGTCATTGTTAGCGCAATAGCTAGTATCCATATAACGTAGCCCAGATTGCATGTTACACGTGAAATGGATACAGTAAAGCTGCAGAAAAACACCAATAGCCAAAGTATGCCACAGGTCATTCCAAGTTGCTTTATTAAATTTATGGTCCTTTGATAGGAAGAAACTAGTTGTTGTTTGCGTATAGTACGACCAATGTATGCGGATATGGAATATAATGCCAAGAAACCAGGAAATGAGAATAAAACCTCATGATTAGCACTGATCCATGTATTTCGTTTAAAAGATTCATCCGAGACATATGTATATGTGAAGGTATATAACATAAATTCGTGGTAGATGAGAAGAGCTGAAAATGGCAAATAATAATTATTATTAAATTTTTAAAAACAGGAATACTTGAATAAAACGATTTTCATTACTCACCCACGCCAAATTTAAGCGGTATTGTACGTTGACCACAAAATTTGCGACACATTATGCGAAGCAATTTTAAAAATGCTAATGTGAAAAAGCCATTCCAATACATTTCAAACTCATTAACATCTGTTTTCTTGCTGAAGAAACAAACTAAACTGATGTGACCGCAGCTCATGATAAACAATTGTGTTAGGACCAGTAAATACTTTGAGAAAGTTTTAGTTCTTCGCTCAACGATGGCAATTGAAAAAACATATAAACCAATGCCCACATCTATTAAGCCAGCACCATATTGTCTTGACTTTTTATATAAAGTAGGCATTTCGACGCATTGGTCAGCTATAATAAAGAGTGCAGCGAGTAAACTGAGTGTGCTACGATCCAATGTAAATGCGAATGGTCGTTCACCGCCATTAACATAGAAACGATCACGTAGATCATCTTTGTAATGCATCTTATAAAGTGAGTAAGATATATATACAATTAAAGCGATATTTATGTAAATCGCTAAAGAACTTTTTATAATAACAAACAATACGGTAGGTATAACAATAATAACAAAATCAATCACAAATTTTCTATAACTTCTCATATCATAGTCAATTGTGTCTTTAAGTTTTTCGCCAATAATTATTGCAATGGTGTAGAAAGCTATACACGGTATGAACGAGTTAAGCACCAATAGGGCGTTGATTAACATTGCTCCTGGCGATTCATTAGTTTTATCTGGTATGTTTGTTTCTTCTTCCGTGTAAGCATCCATGGTTTTTGTATATTTTCAAATCGTAGATTTCTGTTTATTTTATAGTTAGATATATTTATGCTTGTTATCTTTTCAATCTCTTTTATATTATACGGTGTCAACTTACAGTTAAGAAATAAATACAAAAATGTGACAGCGAATTCGCAGTAATCTCGCTTTTACTCTTCCTAACTAATTTACATGTAAACACACATTCAAATGTGCATATAACAAAATGTGTATTAAGTGCAGCTGCTGGATCCTTTAATAACAAAAATAAATCCTAGGGTTGCAGCATAAAATAATAAAAAAAAGCATTTTTATTTTAATAAAATAGCTAAAAGAAACCTTTATTTTAATGAAAAAGCGTAAAAAACTAATTATTTGAATAATATTACCACCTATGTAATAAAACTGATCAAGATCACAATTATAATGTAGATTTAAAAAAAAATACTGCTTAAATGCTTAAAGTTCTTCTTTAGCTTGTAAAATCTGACCTTTCATATTAGTGTTGGTATTAACATTTTTTTGAATTTTTTGTGTTTGAAATTTTTGGAAATCATTGTGTTTATGTACCAAATCAGCTGCTTTAGCTACCAGCCGTATGAATTCTTTTGGGTCAAAACGATAATTGGTGAATTTCGCATGTGCGCCACCTTGAGGATGATGACCCTCATCCTGTGGATAAAGTAATTCATCACGTTCCCAAGTTATATAGTTAATACCACGTAATCGTGCCAAATCCTTATAACAATTAGGATCTTGACAATTATATAATTCAAATATTGTCGCCCAATTCGGCAAGAAGAGCAGATGAGTTAGTCCAGCACCATGCATGCCAATAAGTATATCTGTATTCCGTGTTATTGCTAATTGCTGATTGAATGAAAGTCCTCTGTAAAAAATAAAAAAAAAGAAATAGAAAAAAAACGAAATAATAAGATTTAGTAGATTTTAGCTTTTAAGTAAAATACCTTTCGAAGGAAATTTGTTGTATATGGTAGCTGCTATTTGCGCCAATTTCTGAGAGCAGTTGTTCTTCATTTAAGACTTGTCTATATTTTGTGCGTCGAGATAGAAATGTTATACGTAATTTAGCCTCGGGTGTCGGCTGCTGGTATGGTATTTGCATACGATGTAGTATGAATTCGGAAAATGCACGAAATAGACCACTACCTTGGCAGCCATGAATCTGGAATAAGGAATTAAAATTGAAAATAAAAATAATAAATAAACAAATAAAAAAGAACTCACCAGTGGTGTATTATAGAATAGACCAAATATCATGCGCGGTAATAGAGGTAAAACCAAATTTCTAAAACAGACACGTTTATCTTTTACCTCATTCAATGTCCACACGGGATGATCAGAAAACGCCTTGAATGTCTCAGCGAAAGGCGAATCATAAGGATATGTTTCCCAAATCAGTATACGTACATCCGTATGAAATGCCAATGGGTGTGACTGATTTACAAATAGCGTCGCGTATAAATTAAAGAAATCACAAAAATGATGGTACATATTATAAGTAGCATCGATTTTCATAATAAAAGTGGGTGTATCAACTACCAAGTCACACACACCACTTGCCATTAACGGCTTTGCTATTTCATCGAAATTACGTAGCTCTGGCGCCCAGGATTGTAAAGCACCCATATGATCTAATTCTTCATTTAAACGCGTTCTATTCAACTGACAATGACCCAATAGCTGTTGGGGTTTCAGCACATCCATATGATATCGGATCAATTCCTTGCGTTGTCCTAGTTCCCGAAAGTCAAAAAGCAAATTTCGACCTCGACAAAATCGTAAATATTTGCTACATTCCAATGATGAATCAGTGATATAGCGTGGTTCACATATAAGAGCCAATTCGTTGATTTGATTTTGTATATAGCCAAAATCCGCTTGATAGTAGAATGTTTTGATTTGCTCAGCTTTATTTTTTACCCAACCACTGTGTTCACCTGGACAGGTGGGCGTTTGAAATCGTTCATTCTCGTTACAGTCAAGTTCATGGCCCCAACAAGCCGTAGATTTGAGCGTTATTGCTGACGCAACTGATGCGGGTGATGATGTGGCGTCATCCGAACTATTGGCGGAGGCGTTAAAACTAATCGCACGCAGACACTCTTCATTCTCCGCACATTGTTCACGTACTTTTGGAAAAGTATTAAGGTATCGTATTAAATGATCTACTGGTAAATTTGGTAGAGATGTTTTCCCCGAATGTCTAACAGATCCGTGTGAAATCTCCGCGTGCACAGAAAAATTCGTGAATTGACTTAGAAGCATGAGTATTAATAGTTGTTTGTGACACATTTTCACACCTTTTTATGTTATGATTGCATGTATGCTCAACTGCTAATTAAGTACTTTCGATATATGTATAATATAATGACGTCGCGCTGACTTTTACAATTGTTCTAAAAATTATTCAATGTAACATTTTTGATTTAAGATGTACATACATATACATATATATATGTATGCTGTTCTTTTTATGCAGGTGAATGCTAACTAGTCAATGTTATTTCTAATAATAAGCCGGTTCTATTCAGCAGTATATGCTAGAATTAACACTGATATTAATACTGATTTAAGCGTCAGCTGAGATCCAAAATGCATTAGCGTTGTCAGGTAGCGACTTTTTATTAACAATTATGTGCATGTAAGCAATCCACCACTATCTTTTAGCCATTGTTTAACTAAGAAGGTTCTAACATCTATTGTCAATCAAACGAAACTAGCAGATGCACACAACTTGTATACGACCGCAATAAGCTACCTAACAACTCTATCTTTGCTATGAAATCCGGTTTCTTACACAACAGAGAATGTAAATGTTCTCTGTTGTTTATATTCCCGAATGTCAAAAACTCTTTAAACAGAAAATAACAAATTAAACAAAAAAAACGGCGCTGCCACTTAATCTTTTGAAATTCCATTTTGACTTGATAACTTATTTCGATATTTACCCTAAAAATAAATAAAATTTAAATGAATTTAATCAAACTTCTATTATCATGTCTAAAATATCAAACTATCAGCAATTATATGTTTAAAAAATTATAAGTAAAAATGTGAAATGTGTAAGTATATAAAAATCATAGATTTTGTAAATTACAAAAATATTTAATGAAATTTATAAATTTTTAAGAACCAATAAACTAAAAATAATAATATCAAAAATTTTTGATAATAACCCTCTGCATGCTAACATTTATCTTGCATAGGCTTATCAATTTTACATTTATTTTGCATGTTTTTTCTCATTTAACAAAAATCTTGCTCATTCTGGTATCTCATTGTGGTCATTTTATTTGACTATTTATGCAGTCTTATGATTTGCAGATAATTGCTGTACGGACAAACGCTGCTGAAACAAATGTGCTTTTATGCATTTATGTTAAAAATAATGCACAGAAATAATTTTTGCAGACAAAATTTCAAGATTCCAAATAAAAGTCTCCTTCCCATTGAATACAAAAATGCACAACTATGGCATGAAATCCTGCCTAAACTTCCGAAGTGATTGCATTAGTAGTGACAACATCGAATGTTAACATAACATTTTCTATTAAATTTCCGAAAGTGAGTTAAGTGTTTAAATGCACTTAAGCCAAAATGCATTTAATGACCGGTAGAAAAAGCTAAAATGCATTTAACGTCCGGTAGAAATTGCTCTTTTAAGTTCCCTTTTGGCTTAAAAAATAATTGTTACACAACACTTAAAAGGAGAATGTCGGTGTAAACAAGGGCGTTCCGATAACAGCTGAAATCAGCTGTTACTTCAAATTGTAAATACAAATGCTGCTTGTTTGGAGCCCGTGATATCCAGAATACCGTACTATGGATTAAGCTTGGAAAACTCACTAACACCGACTTGTATATACCGTATTAAAGTTTTGTATTTGTTTGTTAAAATATTATTAATAACAACAATACAACTCGCGAAAAAAATCCGAAGTGAACTAACTGTTTATTTTCAACAATACAATATGGAAGGAATTAAAACAGCAGGCATTGAGCTCTGTGCTATCGACGCGCCAGAAGCATTCTGTCTTTATTCGAAGAAACAACAATTTTTAAATATGGTTTTAGAAAATTCTTTCGAGTATAACTTATCAATTAAATATAACACTGACATATACCCGAAAGATAAATGGGGAACGTCTCTCAACGTCATAAGGATCATATGGACTGTCTTGCCGGTTGTACCTGTGATGGTGATTACTCACATTATAACTTCAACAATTGGACCTGCCATACAACTTAATTATGTTTTCACCTACCTATTAGAAATTGTTTTTATTGTGCTTCCTATAGTGTTTTTAGTGAGTCTTTATAATAATCTTTTGGGCTATCTGCTGCCAGCTCTTCTTTTGGGAGCATGGGTTTACTATTGGGAACTTATACAAAGACCTCGAAACTGGTATTTCAATTGGGGTGGTCGGCGACCACATGTGTTAACTTTAAATCGGGCAACGATAAATTTACTAACAGCGTATTGTATATTAGCCGTCGATTTTCCAAGTTTTCCAAAATACTTTGTAAAAAATCATCAATTTGGTGCTAGTCTTATGGATATAGGAATTGGCTTATTTGTATACTCTATGGGTGTTGTTTCGAAACCACCACAAAGTATTTCACATTTTGTAAAACTTTTTGTAAATGTTTTTGTATTGGTCGTATTAGGCGGTATACGTACGTCAATTATGCGAAATACAAAATTTTCGCAAAATGAGCGTGAATATGGAATACATTGGAATGCGTTCTATACATTGGCATTAACCAAGTTTGGAGCCACGATTTTGAGTTTGCTTTGCAAACATGGCTTTATGCTTTTTGCAGGAGGTGTTGGTAAGATTTATTTAAATATATACATACATAAATTAGCATATTGTTACTAACAGCAAATTAATTAAATTTCTTTCCATACAGTGTTTGCGGTAATCCATGAAGTCAATTTACAGCACAACACATCAAATTTTGTGATGAATGCAAACGTTGTTCGTAATACACTTTTCAAGGCAAACCGTGAAGGCATTTGCTCAATACTTGGCTTCATATCAATCTATCTATTTTCAATGCTCATGGGCCACCATCTTCGCATTCAAAATGATGTCATCACAAGGAAAGCCTATTTTAAGAAATTAAAAGTCACAATGGTATCTGCAATTCTTCTCTGGGTGTCGGTGTTCTCCTGCATCTTTCTTTCAATATCTATTGCGCGCGTTACATGTAATTTAGGTTATATCCTATTAGTCTTAGCCATTGCTCAAACAATGACCGGTTATTACATGTTGGGCTTTCATTCGATATTAAGTCAACCAGATGAATCCTATTCGGCTGATCAGGAATATTTGCCTTCTGTTGTGGAAGCGGTAAACAAGAATGGCTTGGTATATTTCGTCGTGGCTAATCTTCTGACTGGTGGTATAAATTTATGTTTGGAAGAAACAGATTATGTTTTGGAAGCTAGTATCATTATTTTGAGTGCTTATATGTTTCTAACCACAATTCCTGTTCAAATTTTGCATTACTACAAAAAACGTATAGGATAATTTCTAAATTCTCATAAATCCCGATCCAATACTAAATTTATGTATGTATGTTGTGCAAATATTGTAAAATATTGCTTCCGGGTGATAATTTGAAACTTTATTAATCATCATAGCTGATATGCACTTCCATCTAAGATATTTCAGATCGCAAATTTTCCGTATAATAATGTGACAAAAATAAATTAAATAATGTGACAATTTAAAATAAATTAAGTTTTTATACCTTACTGTTTTATTATATGTTTGACTTACATGATCTGATAATATTATACAAGTATATTGAAATATGTGTGGGAAAATATTCGGGTTGAGTGAGCAAATTTACTAGGCTAAAAGATCATTGTAATAAAATTTTATACAAGAGAATAAAAGAAAAATAAAATAAAATAATAATAACTCTTGTTTATTTATTAATGGTTTTGGTTAATCGTGGCCGCAATCTGGGAATCTCTAGCCCTTCGAGGGTAGTTCTGACATGAAATTAAAGCTACTCACAAAAATCCATTGGAGGTGACTTGAAATAAATCGTAGTTTCCCCCATTTCTTTGGAATAAATCAATACGCGTACATCAAAATGGAGGAGGAGAAGCTCGACCGTAAATCCCTTCAATTGTTACAAGGCGCATCTTTATATTGTATATATATAAACTTCTAAGATGGCAAATTTATAAAAATATATTGCATACATTCCATTTAAAATAAATCGACATATTCACAAAGTTGATCAGCAATTAAAGAGCATGTGATACTAAGACTCCACTTATGTATTCATACTCCGATATACCCATGTTGTTGTTGTTCGTGTTGTAGCAACTCGCCAACTCGGTCGAGAATAGTATAAGACAGCTGAGTCTTATTGCATGCAGGACATGCGCTGAGTACGACGGGTTGAAGGTTGGATAATTAGAAATTAAGTCGACTACAATATTCAGATCTTAGTTTTACCAGTATAACTCCCGAGGTAGCTTGAGCTTTTGGTCTGCAATGGATTTAGCTCGGATTCCTAGGAAGCCACTTACAGAGAGAGAGAGTTAATGAATTTGTTGACTGACTCTCGGTGAATAGCATTTAAAGCTTATAGGTTTCGCTGTGCAAGTGATGCGTCGGTGACAACAGGTGGTTCCTTGCCTCGGACCTAATGACGGTACTCTTACATACCAGTAGCTTCTTCATCTGCGTTTCGTTGGTCTACGTTGTCCAGATAGTGGAAGCATAATTTTCCATCGGCTGGCCAATTGCTTGTAAGTAACGAGTAACGTTTATTTTTTAATTTTCCCCAAGTTTTACCGGCTGACTATGTAAGGCATTTTTTGCGGCTTTATACATTAGTGGCCATTGAAGTTGAATGCGGAGGAGAAGGAGTGTATGCTGTTAGATCTGACTCCCAGTAAGTTTGGGTTATTTATTGTCAGAATTTTTACGCCATCAACTTTTACATCAATTTTGAACAGAAATTCCTTGGTGCAGCTGGTGAAAAGGACCGAGGACTTCCCTGGTTGTAATTGTTGAGGTCACATCATCTTTGAGCTGACACTCTTTCATTCAGCTGGTGAAAAGGGTTGCCGAGGACTTCCCTGGTTGTAATTGTTGAGGTCTCATCAACTTTGAGCTGACATCCTTTCGTCCAGCTGGTGAAAAGGGTTGCCGAGGACTTCCCTGGTTGTAATTGTTAAGGTCACATCAACTTTGAGCTGACACTCTTTCGTCCAGCTGGTGAAAAGATGTAGATGTCGTGCCGTGCCATACGTCCATAGATCAAAGAAACGCCTTCTGAAATAAAATAACTAAATGGAGGGGTAGATGCTCACCTCCATCCTGTGGAAAAATATGTTTAATCTTACTTATTTTAGTAGTTTGACCCCGAAACCCTGCCAATATTCGCCGACAACTGCTGTAGTTCATAGTCAGCTTCTTCAACTGCGGCGGAAATGCGGAATCTTCAATATCCGATAGTAGCACTGAATGGTTGATCGTGTCAAAGTCTTTTGATTGATCCAGTGCCATAAGGACAGTACACGTCCAAGGTCGGTTGTTGTCGTAGCTGCAAAAATTTCACCGTTCGTGGATCGTTCCGGTATAAAGACCCGACTGATGCGGTAACTGTTGCATTTTAGTTGCCTCTTCTGACAGGCATGTCTTCCCACAGTCAAATGATTGAGTTTCTAAACCGCAGGTGGTCGCGATGGTTCACAAGCTGTCCCAACGTCTTCCTTCTTATGAAATCATCTTACAAGAATCATTAGCGCTCAGGTTTCAGTTAGTTTAACTTTTTTCCTATTTCTCCTCCCTCCGGGTAGCTAGTTGACAGAGACTGCGACACTTCACGCTAATAAATTATACTTTTAACATTTATTATTACTCTACTAAGAGCACATTCAAGACTACACGAAAAGGCAAAACAGAATAATTTAAGACACTAAAGTCACACAGATTATATAATATACACAACATACTACAATCGAGTTCCGCTTCCTGGTATAGCCGGGTGCACTCAGTTGGCACCATCATTCCACGCTCTTTTGATCTGCCAACGTTGGTCGCCCAGCACCACTTGTAGAGCGTCCATGTAATCGCATTCACGAAACGGAATCTCATGCACCACTCGACCGAAGCTATCCGATATATAGAGCGTATGCTCATCGTCGGTTTTTGTATTGTAAGTTAAATCTGCGTTTCTCGGTTCCTCAAGAGGTTGCGGCTGTTGCCTTAATAAGTTAACTTCTTGCCGATTCATTGATTGCTGATTTTGTTGTTGTTGGTTTTGTGATTTATTATATTTTTGTTGCAGTTCCCTTTGTAATTGCCTCGTATGTTGTTTCTGCTGTTGCTGTTGCCGCTGCAAGCGCAAACGCTGCTCTGTTGCGCGTTCATCTGGCTCTTCATTAGCTGCCGTCGTAGATGAGTTTGAACGAAAGTCTGGTCGTATGGGCATACATGAACGTAGCTGTGGTGGCTCGGTGTCGAGAAATTGTTCAAAAAACCGACTGCGTGTGGTGAAACTGCCGGTGGCGGAGAAGTGTGATGAAATGGAATTTTCTGGGCGGCTGCGCATGAACTCGATGTGCTCTCTGATGTTGGCCGTCTCTAATAATTTGATTCTCCTCTCTGAGCGGTATACTTTTGAAATACGATACAACAACAATAACACATATAAATTTAATACAAAGATGATAGTCCAGAAGATTTGCGTTAAATTTTGAAGATTCAATTCAATTAACATTATTTTTGTCGTAAACAATTTTTTTTTTCCAACAAATTACTTTAGCTTTTGCATTTACTACTAATGTGAAAAGCAAGGGTAACGGCGCTGAATGAAGAAATTGATTTACTGAATCAAGTTTTTTTTTTGGAGACGTTTCAGCTTTAATTGACTTTTCTGAATACTTTTGCGTTTGTCGGGTGAAAGCTGCCTGAGGATCTCGACTCGAAAGGACGGGTACAACTGCAAGTCGCTATCACTTTTCCAGCGATCTAACCCCGGTCAGGGCGGGCGAGGCGGGGCCTGGCTAAAATTATAGTAAAAATTATAGCTGCTCTCTCTCTTTTCAAATAATTTGAAAAACCTTCTCATAAAACGCCATCAGTCACTCGGAGTAACTGTAGAACGGTTCTTAATTCCAAATCACGTTATATCCAATCTTGAAGAGATGGTATACATTGTTGTACACCGTACTAAGCTCAATGGTGGAAGTCATCTTAGACCTACTTAGGGATGGATCTTGCCTCAATATCTGCTTTTCAATTTAGGCACTTGGTGGTGGAATTCCTAACTTAACTAAGAGATTCATATATTGCCGGTGAAGCCATACCAAACACCAGCGTATTTTGCCCCTGCGGGTTACGAGCTCAAGAACTTACCCGTGGTAAGGTATGCTTGTCGTAAGAGGCGACTAGTTCCCGCTTCCTTATACCGGAACGTCCCGAATTTTCGACCAAGGACAATTACCCAGCAATATTCTCCGACAATCAGTTTTGGTATATTTGGCATTGTTGTTATTATAGTGGTTTGGTAACTCTGCTTAGAAGTAAGCAAGGAGACATCTGACAGAAGGCTCAGCAAGTGAGATGTGGCGATGGGTTCGGACCAAGAGGAGTGAGTTTTAAGAGATATGTAAATGGTGGATCGTATCGTACGGGGTGCCTTTGCAAGCTGGATGTACCATCAGTAACAAGACCTCAATTAAGGAAAGTCGTACCAGCTAATATTACAAATCCTCGTCGTCCAAAGTCTCCACTTCTTCCAACATCATTATTTTCTTGATACTTCAAATTGCAACCTTGATAATTTGATCAAAGTTTAAAAAATGCTTCGAAAGAAAACATCTTCCGTCAATTTTCAAATTCTCTTTGAGACTCAAATTTTCGTCAAAATTCTTTTCACAACATATTGCATGAAAATATGATCAAATATTCAAAATTTCATAACAACAATTAAGAACGAAGCCACCGCAAATACTACACTTAATCAAGACAATCTGAACGTACGTAATTATTTCGTTAATTAAAATTTTCTGGTGTGTGGACTCTGAATGGCCCAAGCAAACCTCGATGGCCTTTGTAATGCCTTGTGTACAACAGAGGATCCAGTGCCTGCGTATCCACTTGTAGCGCGTACAGTAAAAAAGAACTCTTTACCAGCCTGTGATGCCTTTGGACCATTTCCAGACGAAACCATTGTTTCGAGTTTGGATCGTGCGCTTTACTTGATGGGCGCACGACGTGTGCAGGAGTTTCTGCATTTGCCGACTCCATCACTCGATTCGAGCAACAGTGATATTTCGGTAACCGTCTCACAAGTATCTTGTCCGGAGTCGCATCGGCCGTGTCGCAAGTGCAATACCATCATCACGACGGGTGAGTAAGGTAAAATTGGTGTTTAGTTTAAGAAATTAACTCCTGTTTTATCGCGTTTTCCTACTCATTTAGATACCAAAGACAAAACCAAGTTGCCGAGTTGCTTGAAAGTAACCAAAACCTGCACTTGTCCCAAGTGTCGTGCCAGCACTGCGAAAACCATGACTCTTTCTAGGAAACCTTGTTGTTGTTGCTGTAGCATTGCGTCGACACATTCGTCGAAAAGTAGTCTATCATCGCATGTGCAAATATGTGAACCGCCCAAGACCGCGAATCCTTTGAAACGTTCCTTTTCGATGTGTTCACTCGCCTGCCGAAAATTGAAGCAAATGCTTACTTTCCCACCAAAGGATGGCGAGAAGTCGCGCTGGCTGTGGGCACGTCTACAGTCCACTGATAATGGCTGTCAAGTGTATGAGATATTTAAAAATTCCAGTGTGTGCACACATCCTTCGGAGTTCGAGAAGAAGCGTACGCCACAAGTGATTTTTGTTATGTTGCAAAATGGCAATATTATGCCGTTTGAAATTTTATCCGCTCACTAGTTTCCAGAGAGAGAGAGAGAGGCAAAAAAATAAAAGATAATTAGGGAGCAAATACAGGCAGAGGTATGGAGAGAAGATTGGGAGCAATGGAGCATGAGAGGTGAGCAAGTGCAGCTCTGTGGTTTTCACGACAATGTGTTTTAGAATGTGAAATAAACTAAAAAAATTAATATGTATGTATAAATAAAAGAGGACTTTCTTCTAAAAAAGGCAGCCTGCAGGTGGGTAATGATATTTGGCTGTCGTATCGACTAGGCGGTAACGGTGATTTTGAAGTGGTAGGTCCAGCACTGAAATTATTCAGAATTTGTCAAATACTGGAAAAGGCCCATGAAAAGAAAAGTCCTCTCTCGACAAACCAATACCAAACTCTGCTTGATCACTCGTAAATCAAGTCTTAATTTCTGATCCTGCTTTGAGAGTCTTCGTGACAAAGGTTTTGCAGACTATTTTTTATTTGAGGGTGACTTCGAAGACTAGATATAGAGATATACGTCGACGTTGACATAGCTCGCAATTGATAGGTCCTAGCGGCCGAGGTATTATTTCAGCTTCGGTTAATTCAAGAGATGGTTCTGACTTGGCCATTTTATAAGTTTATCATTTACCGCCTACATACCTACAGCTGGGATTTCAGAAAACAGAGTAGTTGGCCTAGCAACTTATCGGGTTTATGAGTGTAATCTTCGTAAAGCCCTTTCCATAAACTCAGTGATTACAGCTGAGAACAGATCCGAAGCTGCTAGCACTAAGTCTTTCAATCCTTCTTTGTTAAATTTTAGTTGTATTTCGCTCAGTGCCACCGTCCATAGCAGGTGGTGAGGACTTTAGCAGAACCGAAATATGTTCTATCTTCGAAGGGCATCATTCGAGTTGAGTTACTGAATATCCGCCGCCTAAATGTGTTGTTGCTGCTACCAACTCTATCCTTACAAACAATGGTGAACGCAACACCAATCGCCTTTTCTTTTCATCTTTCATTTCTGGAGTATTGAATTCAGGAGCCTCCGCGCTTCTTTAGCTTAGTGAGGTTTCCTTCAAAGGTATAACTCTCACTATGTGTTCATGATTTATTCGGTTGGTTGGAAAATTGAGGAGCTAAATGCGAGCGATCACCGAAGTCATTATGTGAAATCTATTTGCTGTCTTGTTGAAGGGTTTGTGAACTTCTCATTGAATTTAATGAAATGCTTTAATTTATTTTGCTCATCCGCAACCATCTCCATAAGGCTGGAGCTTGGAGATCCGTTGCAGATTTCGGCATCTCAATCATCTGACCGAAAACTCACTAAGGTAGTGCTTAAATGTTTCGTACACTCTGCCGATTCTAGCTTCCTAGCTTGTGCAGATAATATCACAGGGACAGATGCAGCATTCAGTATACTTACATGAGTACTAAGTTCGTCTTTGCAATCCTTTCTATTACATTATAATTGTGTGGCGAGCTCTGAGTTTTAATTACTTCAAGATTTTAAATATGCCTCTGTATGAGACAATATTTGAAGTAGTCAGCGACGCCCGGGCTGGCAAGCCCGTCCGCCTTTTCATTATTTTTCTAGATCCGTAAAATCTTTAATTGGGCTTGAATTAAAAAGAACATGACCTGTTTAGGGGGGTTGGGCGGGTTCTACAACTTCTACCTCAATTCCACTTATTCGTAACAGACCGACCCATGTGGAAATCTTACTCTCACAACTCTCACAAACAAAATTTACACTTGCAACACAGCTTATTTTCTACTTCTCGGATAATTTCCCGTCAAATAGTCAATCGGAAAAATTCTAAACTCCAGAAAACATGGGAAAGGTTTTCAATGATCAAATTATAAAAATTTTGTGTGCAAAAAATTTCAATAAAGTACAAAATGAAGTTGGCGAACCAAATCTGAAAGAGAAGTGTTCGTGTTTGCGACGTGGCGAGAGTTACGTTGTATTTTTGGATCGTGATCATCGTAAACAACTACAACAACAAATGGGTGCAAAAGATTTCAAAATGGCGGCAGCGGCAAATGAAAAATCGCTCTTCCAATTCGGCACTACACCGTTAAACGACAACAAGATGACGCCGCAAGTGGATGAGGAGAAGAATTGGCTTAGGCGTAAGCTCAGCCTGAAACGGGCCGGTAGTAAGTCGAACAGCTTAAAAGCGCAGTTGTGTGAAAGTTTGGGTACGATGTTGCCGAAGCGTGTCGTCAGTATGTTAACGCCACGTGCTCAACGACGTGGTGAGAATGAACGTTTGACGCCCTCAGTGTTCGGCCCATTTCTCGATGAGCCAGTTTGCGACTTCATTGATCGTTTATTCTATTGTATTTGTGTAATGTTCGGCAGGGATATGGAGGCTTCAGAGTCTGGTGTGCAGGCGTGAGCGCTAAAATTGAGGATTTAATGTAAAGCGTGTCAAAGGTGTTGAGGTTTTGTTGGTTTAATTGTGGCATAAAGAGATTTCTACGGATTTTATTTCGAAATAAATATTTACTCATTAAATGTATGAAAATGATGAGAACTCAGTTTGAGTTTTAATTTCTTTTAGGTTATCAAATCCCTTTTAAGCTTAAAGTCTATCTTGGAAACTCTTTAATTGCATTTCTTGTAATTCTTTACTCAACAATTTCTCTCATGATCTTTGCTCTCCTTCTTGGATAATCGTTTGTTCACCTACACTGCATCCCCAAACCTTCCACACCCACCTGTCGCTGCTGATACTTTGAGCTGATAAAATTTCTATTAAGGAAATGACAAAAATTACTGCTATTGTCCTGTCGGATTTGCGCGCCAAAGCAGGCCGAACAGCAAAGGTTAAGGTAAAGCAAACCAAAAAGGAAGCGTCGAGAAAGAAGGATATTCAATTTCCCACAGGCGGAGTGCGTGTGCCAGCTTAGCGCTGCCTTCCAAGGCTATCTACTTTCATTAAGCGTTGAGTGGAGTGTCGGCACAATGAATAGATGAACTAGTGTATGAAATACATGTGTGTGTGTATGTGTATGTTTACAAAGAAAAAAGCTGGATTAGGCGTAAATGACCATTGAAGACGTTTATTTCACACTTTTGTCGCATTTTCTGCATCTTTATTTACTTAATTTTTTTCTCTTCCCTTTTTCATCTCAAATGTAATCACAGCGACCGTCGAGACAATGAGCAAATTCAAACAATGAGCGACTGAGCTTTAACTAAATTCAACGAACTTAAATCACTCGAGATTGACTGGCTTAAGGAGGTGAAGAGCAAATTGAGTAGAGATTGTATGCCATTTGCTCTCTCTCAGTTCAAATTCGAATTGAAGTGATTTACATAAAAAGTGAATTCCATAAATGTCTTCGCCTTTGCTTCATATCCTGTAAATATTTTATCAAATTTCTATCTTTATAGCTTCAATTATTTGTCTTTAAATGCCATTGGTTCGCTTTGGTATCGGTTTTATAGTTGATTTTCTCGTCTCTCCTTTGCCGCTCTCAAATTGAGTATAATCATTATAAATGAGTTGTGTACGAATATAATTTTATCTGATTTCGTATAAAATACCATTTCCGTCAATATTTATGTGGAGCGAGTATAAAGAGAATTTCTCAAAATGTGTGGGGTGGTTCAACAAGTACTCAAAACTTAGACCACTCCGAGTGCATTTCTCACATGAAATAAAAATAGCTCCTTATAAGAATTCCTTAACCTTAACCCCTAGCTCTAGAAATAAACAACAATACGACTATCACAAAGTGTGGGAGGAGCTCGGCGGAAAACGGTTGGGGCGTTTATAATATGTGTCCCTTCTTCATCCTCTTCCTTCGAATTATTGTAAATAACAACATATTTTTCCAGAAGTATGGAGGTGGCCACTATTCGGTGAACTATTTCAATGACCTACAACAAATTTTTTCATCGCCTACGGTATTCCCCGCAGCTAATATGCAAAGGTCGGTAAATCTTTAGCAAAACCGTTTTCTCGGAAACTCCAGACGTCTTTAATGATCATGCTTGTTCACCGGAGAGGTCAAGCTATAAGGTTGTTTCAACGAGAGTTGAGTTCCTTCTGAGCTTTGTGTTTTTCAAGCGAATATTGTATATTCGTGATTCCCCATAAGCAGAAGATGAACGTCTAATTACGAGTATGCCATTTTCATAGATCGGCTACTTGGATTCACCATCGATCGAAATTTTATTTTTTCTATAAAGTCAGTATGTTCGGAACATCGATATCTAAATCACCTCTTCGGTACCTACATGAATATCAGAGAATTAAAAAAAAAAACTGAGAGATGCGTTCTAAGCCCCAGGATTTACCGATGGATCTACGTCAATCCTTTGCGGGATGATTGTGTGGTGGCTCTAAATAAAGTTGCTAGTGCGGATCTCATAGCTTAGAATCAAGGAAGTACGTTAATGTCCATCAGTGGTATCTTTAGAAGCACTGGTATATCAGTCGGCAGCAAGGACTACACTACGCCCAAGAATGTCAAATCAATGGACCTCTTAGCCGCGGAGGCACTTGATAATATTGGATAATTTTAATTTTATACGATGACATGGTCCAACTATATTAACTCATAACTGCTACAGAACTCGAATTCCCAGCACGAAAAATTTTGGTAGCAAATTTCCACAATTCGGGTGACAGCCTGAAAATATTCAAAACATCACAGGAAAGTTGACATAGGCGTCTTCTCAGGGAACTCTCTTTCATGCCACCTGACCAATTGAGTGTTTTCTAGGTGAAGGTATCTGCGATCATGGAGGCTGGAAAGCAAATCGGAGCAGGATTTATAGATAAGGATATCTTCTGTTTCAGCGACAGTTAGGCAGCAATAAAAGGACTGAGCTCGCTTACACTATACTCTAAATTAGTGTTGGACTGTCGCCGATCTGTACAGAACAGACTGTTTATCACGTTGGTCCATGGCCATAGGACATCGAGGGAAACTTTAAGTACCCTTTTGTCACTTGCTAACTGATTATCAAGGAATTTACTTATAAAAACTCCACGTCATGGTGGAATGCAACTAAAACCTACCTAAATCCAAACACACCAGGCCGAACTGGAATAAGAAAAGATAATAAGATATGAGGAACATTTTTTAAGAAACCGGAGTTCTAACAGATCAATGAAAAACGACGAAAAGACTAGGAACTAGGAGCCGCAAGGCTGCTGAGAACGAGGATCGATCACCCATTTATTATGCTATTGTTCTGCTTTGA